TTGGACTTGTGAAATCAGCCCAACCGGTGAAAGTTGAACTTCGACCAGGAGCCAGACCTCCTTGGAAGAATCAGTATCCATTGAAAGATTAAGCAATCCAAGGGATTTAACCACTAATTGAAGGACTTTCGAAAGCAGGTGTTTTGAAGACAATAAAAAATTCTCAGAGTAACACGCCTTTGTTGCCTTTGAAGAAACCCGATGAGACTTATCGTATGGTTCATGATTTGAGAGCAGTGAATGAAGTAGTAACTGATTTTCCAGCAGAAGTGCCAGACCCGCATACCTTGTTAGCCCAAATTCCTCCTGATGCGACACATTTCACAGTGTTAGACTTATGTGGCGCATTTTTTAGTGTTCCACTTAGTGTAGAAAGTCAGGGTTTATTTAGGTTCACATATAATGGACAGTTCTATGAGTACAGGCGATTACCACAAGGGTTCAAGCATAGTCCTCACATTTTCAATAAAGTACTGAAGGACGATTTGGTAGGGATAGATCAGATATTGCAAAGCACTGTCATTCAGTACGTGGATGATATAATTATCTGTTCACAGAATGAGGAAACATGCTACAGATATTGGCAGAAAAGGGACATAAGGTTTCACAGAAAAAGTTGCAATATTGCCAGGAGAAGGTCAGAAAATAACGCATGGACACAGAAGCATTTCTGACAGTCAATTGGAAGCTATTCGTAAGGCTCCGAAGCCTAGAACTGTCAGAGAGATTATGACATTTCTAGGTATTGCTGGTTATTCTTCAGCCTGGGTTGAGGTCCTGTCAAACTAGCATAGCCCTTTGAGAGCTATGGTTAAAGATACTGGGAATGGTCAACTCCATAGCAATCTTTCCTGGACACAGGAAGGCCTTGTAGCATTTGAAACGATCAAACAGAGGTTACAAGAGGCACCAGCACTCACACTACCAGACTACTCTAAGAATTTCTTGCTATATGTGTCTACTTCTACTGGAGGTAAATATGCATGTGCAGTTCTTTGTCAGCCGACAGGTACAGGGACGAATCCTCAACCTATTTCCTACTACTCTACTGCCTATTCAGAAGTAGAACTAGGGCTACCACTGTGCTACAGAGCAATGGTGGGAGTATATTTAATGTATGACAAAGCATCATCTGTTACGATGGGTTACCCAGTAACAATTCTTACCCATCATAGTCTCAGAAATCTTCTGAACTATGAAAAATATACATTGACTATGCCTAGGCTCAGAGATTATCATAGGCTCTTAGAGCAGGAAGATGTCACCCTAGTGAGGTGTGATACGGTGAATCCAGCTGAGAATTTGCCAACTTCAGAGGATGGTGAGCCACATGATTGTGTTCAAGAAGCAGAGAAATACTCAAGGCTTAGATCAGATTTGCAAGCCCTTCCATTACGTGAGGCAGACCTGGAGTATTGGACTGATGGGTCTTGTTATCGTGTGGGAGATAAATTGTGTGCTGGCTATGCAGTAGTTAAAGCCCAAGGAACTGGATTTGTTGTTGAAAAGGCTGAAGTAATACCACAGCCTGCGTCCGCACAACTTGCTGAACTTGTGGGGCTAACAGAAGCGTGTTTGTTAGCAGAAGGAAAGCGAGTGACGATTTATACTGATTCTGCATATGCACATAATGTATGTCATTTGTTTGGAGCAGTGTGGAAAGGTCGAGGGTTTAAGAAAACGGATGGTTCTCCGATACAACATCACAAATAATGAAACTGTTGCATGCTATGATGAAGCCTAAAGAGATAGCGATAGCTAAGTGTGCAGCTCATAAAACAGATGTGTCAAAAGTCACACAAGGGAACAAAGCTGCTGATGAAGCTGCAAAAGCCGTCACAGGAGCGGACAAATTGGGCAAGGTTTTTCTGGTCACTCATGGAGTGGACTTGGAAGACAAAATTACGCTTAAGGATGTGATTTTGATGCAGGAAGCTGCTTCTATGATTGACAAACAGTTATGGCTAGACTGAGGTGCCGTCAAAGATGCTACGGGTCTTTGGAGAAACCATGAGGGGTTGATAGTAGCGCCTCTAGACCTATTAGGTCTGATGATTCAGGAAGCACATGGGTTAGCTCATGTTGCAAGTGGGGAGGTTAGCAGAAAGATCAAAGGAGTATGGTTTTTGGGCACCATATTTGCTTGAACAGGTTGACTATGTCATAGGCAGGTGCACAATCTGTCTGAAAAATAATGTTTGCAGGGGTGTGACTGTTCTTCCTGGTCACATTCCAACACCGAGAGGTCCTATGCGTGAGTTGGTTATCGACTTTGTTGATATGATAAAACCAGTTGAAGGGAAAAGATGCATGCTGGTGGTTGTGGATAGATTTTCACGAAGGCCGGTGGCCTGTCCAACCAAGCGAAAAGACGCTCAGTCGGTTGCCAAGTTCTTGTGTAAAGAAGTCATAAGCAGGTGGGGACTTCCCGATCGAATATCCTCAGATAATGGGAAAGAATTTGTGGATAAATCTGTGAAATTGATTTTGCAAAAATTGGGAATTAAGCAACGTCTAGGAGCAGTTTATCACCCACAAAGTCAAGGGATTTGTGAAAAAAATTAATGGTGTTTTGAAACCCAGTGGGAGCAGTGGTAGTTCAGCTTTAGTAGCAGCTCTTGTAGGGCTGTGTGCGATGTTTTGCTGTTGTACTTTGTTATTGACTTTTGCGAAGGCTATGATATTGAGATGGGTTGGAGTTGTGATGCCTGGAGACAACACTCCGATGCCGTTGTTAACCGTGACTGATCTAGATGGAGATGAACAAGTGGTACTGGATGGAGTATTGATGGATAGATATTCATTTTGAATACCTGATTGTGTGATAATTTTCACATTTCTTTGCATATTGTTGTGATATTTAGTGTTTTCTTATGAATCAAAGGGGGGAAATGGAATGTGATTCATTTTTATATATTATTTTGATATTGATGTTTTAATTTTTTATGTGTTGCTTTGCAAAAGATACTGGTTGGTGTTTTCTTTTCTTCCAGAAGCATATGGGGAATGTGTAGTGGGATTCAAATACTCAAACATGGACAATATGAATGGACTGGAGGAAGTTGAACAAGGACGGTGTGGAAATGTTCAGATTCCATCATCGACGTTGCATTGAATGTCGACACTGCTGAGGAGCTGCAGTGTAGTGGACTACATTCCAGTGTCTGCACTGATACATATTTGCATGTGTAATACATAATTTGTGTCATTCTTTATGTATTAATTTTTTTAAGAATGATGTTTTCTGTTGTTGGGTACATGTGGGGACCTCAGATGTTTTTCTTTTTTCTTTGACGCTTAGGGATATTGGGTCTAGGCAGGGACAGAGAGAATCCACGGGAGGGTCCGATGGGTCGACCAGCCTGAATGTGGACATTTTTTGATTTGATTTTGTTTTCTGAGGCTTTCACGTGTATTCGATTGCATCATAGCTTAAAATGCATTGATAAAGATTTATAAATTGATCTGGAGTACTTAGGTGGTCGCCTGGGGCAGAGGGGCCGTGAGAGAATTTTCCTGTCTTGATTGATTGATGGATATTTGGAAAGAAAGCTGCCAGACAGGTTTTTCGCTCTTACACTCCATAACAATTTGTTCACACTCCATAAACTTGGTTTTATTGCTAAAGTTACACAAGAAGCCTGATGTAATAAAAATTGTTATTTGTCATAATCCTATTCTTTTTGTTTTCGAGACTTAATTAGTCTCGAAGGGGGGAAATATGCAGTATCTGAGGTTTTCATATTGTTGGTTAGATGAACTTTACTCTACTTTGCTGAAACATCTGGAAAGTGTTACTATAGGGGCCCCCTAAAACAGTGGAGATTCGGATATGTGGAGGCCAGGGATTGGTCTATTCAAATCACGCCATCTTATGTTACATGAAGCATAGGATATATATACCATGTTTTAACAAAAGGAGGGAGAGTAATCATATTTGGGATTGGTTTCGTTGCTCTCCAGATTCTGCAGAGTCTGTAAATTGATGCTGAAATCTTTGATATAATAAACCTTTATAATCAAGTACAGTGTCAGCGGATTTCTTATCAACACATCATCGCAGCATCGTTGTTCGGACACCACACTAGTTTGCAGTCTTTCCAGCTTCAGTTTGAAGTGATTGTGTTAGCTGTGTTGTTGGCTAGCTCCTCTGAACAAAAATGTCCTGACGAGAGAGTACATTTTATATGCCAGGCGAAATCGCGCCTCATTAGCTCATTGTTATGGATGTATCCAAATAAATGTCACTAGAAAACACCTTAAACAAATGCAAATGCAGCTACTGTTGTTATTCTGTCTGAACTGTTTGGTGTGACTGTAAGTTAGCCGTAGTTGGCTAGCTAGCAAGCAAGGGATTTGAACGTTGCCAGTTAGTCAATGGAATATTTAGAACGAACGACCACAGATACAGAACAAAAAGACTGAACAACTGGGTCGCATCTCTGGCAACCGAACCAATAGAACGAACGACCAGCCAGCTTGGGTAGCAACCCTAGATTTGTGTCAGGACTATATCTTATGGAAGGATGAAATAGTATGAACAAATTCATAAAAATAACATTTTTAATGAAAATATGTCAACCATTATTTGAATATGTTGGTAACCTGTGGTATAAAAGTGATAATGCCCTCGAAGCCGGTGTTTGGGGGATATATATTGGCACGGTTTGCCGGCCCTCGACTTCGTCTCGGGACTTACAACACCCGTGGCAATATCTTCTCCAAACACCGGCTTCTCTGGCATTATCCCTTAAACAACAACCTGGTTATCCACCAAAATGAGCTACAGAAGAATTCAGGGCGTCAAGCTACAAAAACATACAGAAAATTGTATTAGGAGGAAACACCAGTCTTTGCTCTGTGAACTCTTGTGAGCATGTGAGTGTAAGTTAGGTCAAGACACCAGTCTCTATGCAGTTCTATAGGCTAGACCGACGAAAGTTTGTGAAGGATGATAATACGTGAGTTGCATGTTGACACCACTTGGCAGTGAGGGGTCCTTAGGGGTTGGGTGTGGCCCCTAAGGCTGGAGCCACCCCGGTCTTGGCTGACAGGGTGCTGGTCTTGGGCCGTTTGGACTCTGGGGGCTGGCACACAGGTTCGGTGGGGGGAGAGGGTCGTTCTGGGGGGCAAAGATGAACCAAAATACATGCAATCAATCATAGGCAGAACACTGGACTGAATAAAAACGTTCTTAGGAATAGGATATTACATAATTTAGTATACTCAGATGTTAATTGTGTTTCATTTGTTGGGTGCACAGAGGCAGACCCCATTACAAAGACCGGTAAATATAACACTGTCCATAGCCAATCCCTGGCCTTGTTGTAAAGTGCTTGGCCAATCCCTGTGTTGGTTGTTGCAGGATGTACTGACCATGTTTGGCTTTCTCCGTGGAGGAGGGTGTGGTGAAGGCAGCTGGAGATCTGGAGACGACGGGAGTAAGAGATATCCGTCTGAAAACAGAAGGTAGAGAGAGAACAGTGACTTAGAGAAGGATTCTACCCAGCTCTTGAGTAGGTGGCTGAGGAATAAGTCCTATCTGAGACAACAGCAGAATTCCAATATATGGCTATTATGTAGGCCTACATAAGAAAAACTTGCACCTCATTTAGGATTCATAGGGAAAAACTAAACCTGCAAATAATAACAATCTAACTGCACTTCTTCCCACCTCTGCTCTTTCTCTCCTCATTCAATCTCCTCAGACTGATAATGACCGGACACACACACACACTGCCCATCTTTTGTCTGCCGGCAGCCTTTCAGGATAATCGGTACTTGATTAACAGTGGGGGTCCAACGAACCTTGAATGCCAGACAGGGTTTTGTTCTGACAGACAGTAACTAACGACCAAACACATGCCGCAAGCTCTCTTATTATTTTGTCGCACACTCAATGTCAACAAATGACTTATCATCCACAATGTGGATTCAGAACATGCATAGAGATTCCTAGATACTGCACATTTCCAATAAATGGAAACAGTAGGGGAGAAATGGTTCAATGTCCTTCCCTACACTAGGCATGATGTCCTGGCTGGTGCTTCCATCTCCCACCAGCCTCTCCCTGTCTAACTGATCCCTTCCATCCAGTGATCATCTGGCAGTGACGTAGTAGCTGTGTGTAGGTCCCAGGCAGTCAGTCTGTCTGGCTCCACTCACCACCGGCCATTTGAATGGGAGTTCAGGGATTTACATACATTTACATACCATAGTCTTGTATTAGAGAGAGTGTAGTCTACACACCCGGATATGACTACATTCAGGCTAGCTCTTTTTAGCATCTAGGTAATGGCACCATGGTTGAGAACAGGATAGTAATGAGCTTATGGACCAGGGGCAGCCATTACAGGGAGAAGGGTTTCATCTAACCTTTGATTCTAGCGGTGGCTCACATGAGTGATTCAACCAGGATCAAGGTACATTAGCATGCAAAAGCTACTCACACATGCAGAAACGCACTCTCACGTAATATACGCAACAATGGCCAAACTCTGACTCACAGGCATGCATTACATAGATTAGACACAAGCACAGGCCTACACAAATACAGACACACAATGGTCTGTAGATAAAAAAGCCATGACATCTTGTGTCTGTGCTCTTACCTGGGGACGGGTCCTTTAGGGGTGCTGGGGCCCAGGGTGTTACCGCTGCTTCTTTGGGCCTTTGGGGTGAGGCAGGGCTGAGCTGTAGAGGGGGTGAGGGGGGTGTTGGGGGTAGAGGGAGTGAGGCGAGGCTGCTGGGGGGTGGAGGGGGCGCTGATGCTGGCTGTGGTGGGGGTCTTGGGGGCATTAGCAGCAGGGGCTTTGGGGTTGCTGGGCTTGCCCCATCCCTCCAGGGTGTTGAGGGTGATCCTACGGGGCTGGGGCTTGGCCTTTCCAGGGTTATTTTTCTCCCCACCCCCAGGGACCAGGGGGGTGGCATGGGAAGTGAGGGAGGAGAGGGGGGTGCTGGGGGTCTCTTTAGGGATGGGGTGGACAGTGGCGGTGCTCTCTGTGGTTTTAGGGACAGGGGACACCGTGCGAGCCGCTGCAGCCTTCTTGCCCTTCTTCTCGGGACCGTTGCCGGGGGTGACGACCTCCAGGACGGGGGGCTCCTTCAGGGGGGTGCCCAGCTCGCCAGTGGAGAAGGACAGGAAGGAGCAGTAGCCGTCTGTAGACGACACCGCCAGGAAGGAACCGTCCCGAGACCTACAACAGCATTTGACATCATCACTAAATAGACTGGATGGAACACAGACTGTAACAATACCACAACAACTTATTATCACAAGTAGTTAGAAGTTACCCCTAAACACTGATACAGGGTCAGATATTTTTCAGTGCAGTTTGGGATTGGGTCATCTGATCCTAGATCTGTGATCAAGGGCATCTTCTACCTCATCAAAAACAGAGCAATACAAGACACCTCAAGAGAGTGTGTGTGTACCAGGTGAGGTCGCTGAGCGTGTGGTAGTGGATGTTGGACACGTAGCCGAAGGGTAGGGTCTGCTGAGTGTCATAGAGGAAAATGGAGTCCTCTGATGCCACAGCAAACACCAGTCTGTAGGGCAAGCCAAACGTGTTAGGTAGGGGCTGGGCACTGCCATCTGTAGGGAAGGAAGGAAGGGAGAAAGGAGTGGTGAGGAAGGCAGAGAGAGGAGAGGAAGGGAGTTAGCTATCATTTTTTTTACATCTTGGGTGAATAGCTATTTGTGTGTGTCCTTACCCTCTCCCTTCTTGGTCCTCAGCTCGAAGTAGACAGGGCAACAGCGTACAGCCAGGGTGGCTTTAGCAGGGCAGGGCAGGTGAGCTATGGGCCTAAGATACAGAAAGGCAGATAAAGGTTATAACCATCCTGATACAGACACAGAAGCCAACTCCAGGCTTTGACAGTCTCAGTTAATTTCAATAAATCTTTGTCCCCAGAGGGTTATTGGTTGGCAGCAATGACCTCTTGAGGCTCTTCCTGGAGAAGACGTAGGTGGTGTTGGTGACGTTCTCCCCTGCCTCCACACACCCCGCTACACAGAGAGAGAGAGAGAAGGGGGAGAGAGAGAACGCAGAGGAAGGACAGAGACAGAGAGAGAAAGGAGATGGGCTAAACAGGATGTCACCTATGACTTCCACATCATATAATATAATAATAATATAATATGCCACTTAGCAGACGCTTTTATCCAAAGCGACTTACAGTCATGTGTGCATACATTTTTACATATGGGTGGTCCTGGGGATCGAACCCACTACCCTGGCGTTACAAGCGCCATGCTCTACCAATTGAGCTACAGAGGATATCATCACAGGATATGACAGCAGCACAGGACACAATTTCTTCCTGTTTCAAGTCACCAGACGAATGCACAGAGTAATTGTTTGTGTGTGTGTGTGTACCTGGGGCGAGCAGAAAGGATCCGTCCGGTGTGAAGGTGAGTCGCCTGAAGAAAGACTTCATGCTGTCGTCATGGAACATTCGGTACTGTTTCACCTGCACACAAACAAATAAACACCATCACATCAATGAGTGTTCAGTGTGTGTATGATTGTGTTTAGTTTGAGTGTAAATGTGTGTGTATGGGAGATCGTCCACTCAGCTCATACTGACCTCTCCCTCCACAGCTGACCCAGAGCTCATCTTACTGACACTGTAGGCCTTCCTCCTGCTCTGAGTACTGTACACACGCATAACCCTGAGAGACAGAAGGAGAGATAGGGAGAGAGAGCGCGAGGGAGAGAGTTGACAGTCAGATTAGCAATCAATCATATTAGCATTGTTTACCAGTCGATGCTGGTTCATTGTTTACATGTTAGTCCCACTAATCACTGATAAAGGGAGAGACTAAATGGCTTTTCACACAGAACCAGTGGCTGTGTGTGTTGTGTTCATACCTGTCACAGCTGAGTGTGGCCACATACTGGCCAAGCGGATCCCAGGTCACTCCCTGCACATAGCTCTTATGGTCATTAAAGATGCACAGCTTCTGACCTAAGAAATACAACACAGTTACTACCTGTGTTATAACTAATGAACAACATGCATTCATCGAGAATAAACATAGACAACAGAGGTACTACTCAACAGACATATTTAGACACACTGTGTACACACACACACACACACACGTCTTACCCTTTGTGACATCCCACATAATGGCAGTATTGTCCACAGAACCAGAGACCATGAAGTTCCCATCCCGGGTCCAGCTGATATCATACACATCCTCTATGTGTCCCCTACCAAACACAATTTAAACAACACACACAGATGTGGTTATGAAGTAACACATATCAAAATATTACAGGGAGGGGACCATGTATTGTAGATAAGGGCAGCGATTAGAGGGTCTCACCTCAGGGTCTTGACCACGCTCCAGCTCTCCTTGTTGAGCTGACTATCCTCCTCCTCCTGGAACGACGGGGCCTGCTCAGGCTCCTTACTGTCATTCAGCTTCCACAGCAGGATGGCTGCATCTGTTACACAGTCAACACAGTCATTACACACATGGAAAAACATACACTGTGGACTGAATTTCTCTTATCATAGCAACTTACAAGTACTTGGGTTTCTTGAAAGATCCTACATCGAAGGTCTTGTGAAAAAGCTTAGGCACAAGCTGGATTTTTTTGTTGTCCGTAATAAGTCATGTTTTTCTTTTGAAGCAATAAAAGAGGCTTGTTTGCACTACTTTTGTGCTTGTAATTGATTATGGTGATATCTTGTTTATGTATTCCCCTGTGGTGTCAATTCGTATAATGAACACTGTACCATGGGGTGCTGAGTTTGTTAATAACTCCAAAGCTATCACATCACTGTACCCTCTATATGCGAGCAGGGCTGGCCTTCCTTAGCTCTTCAGGGGATTAAATCAGAGGTACGTTTTTATTTATAAGGCCATATTGAGACAGTTCACATTTGACTAGTGTAACTACATTATCGAGCAGTCAAATGAAAAACTATCGCCCGACTCACAACTGTGTTTTGTTGATTGTGCCTAAGGCCAATACAGAGATAGGGGGAAAAGCTTTCCAGTTCTCTGCCCCTTCCACTTGGAACAAGCTTAAAATGGTCCTTGAAATTACAGGAGCTCGTCCCTTTAAATTAGCTAGGTTAAACACTATGATGGAAAATGAAGTGGGGGGCATCAATGTTTTGACCCCTAGTTTCACCACACTTTCTCAAACCATCTTACTGTTCAATGTGTACATTAGTTTTTTAAGCTGTAGTGCTTTGTATTTTATGTTGTAAATGTGTCTGCAACTTTGTGTGCTGCCATTTTGGCCAGGTCTCTATTGTAAAAGAGATTGTTAATCTCAACAAGACAAACCTGGTAAAATCAAAAAATAGCATATTATTGTTGTGTTGGCATCAATTGATTACAATCCCGGAGGTGCAAAAAGATGGCGGCCTCCATGCACTTACCACAAATGCCTTGTTTGCCAAGTTTACGTATTGTACATTGCTCTCTGTTACTCCTTTTTTGTATCGTCATAAGCACAGTAAACATGATCCCAATTTAAGCTTCAAGCTTGAAAAAGGGAACCATGTTGCGCCATAGTTTTAAAACTCCATGGATAGTGGTAAAACCATGACGTCATATCTGAATTCCGACACCTTTATGCACTTCAGCATTGGAGACGCTGATCACCCTTGTTCCATTTTATTTGTTATATAAGTTTGCTACATAGTGACCCACCATCTCCTCCAGAGGCGAGCAGCTCGCTGTTGGGGCAGAAGCGCACCACGTTGACGGCCTTGGTGTGCCGCGCCAGGTTGGACAGGAAGTCCACCACTGCCTTCCCATCAGGCCCCATCTCCACACGCCACAGCTGACCACAGGAAATAACATCACACGTTACAGCATCACACAGAGCCACTACACACGTTAGGTCATTGTCTCTGAATGCATAACTACATTGGGCCCTTACCATGCAGTGTGTGAGAGAGCGAGAGAAAAAGGCCCCTCTACTAATACATACAAGTATTCACAGTGTGTGTGTAAATATGTAAGTGTGTGTGTGTGAGAGAGAGCGAGATGTCTCGCTGCACCTGCCATAACATTTGCAAATCTGTGTACATGTCCAATAAACTTTGATTTGAACAATGTGGTCGTTTTAAACAGCTAGCTAGTACTCACCCTGACAGTGGTGTCCACTCCTGCAGTGGCCAGCCTGTGTATGCGGCCCTCTGAGTTGTGCTGAAAGTCCAGACTGTAGACAGGCTCTTTGTTGTGCCACGCAATCTCACATGTTATCACCTTCATCTTGCTACTAAGTATTGGGGAAGGGAGAAAGAGTAAAGTAGAATGTCAGCTAGAGATACTAGCTATAACTAGCAACTGAACTATGACTGTAAGTCGCTTTGGATAAAAGCGTCTGCTAAATGGCATATTATTATTATTATTATAACAAACAGCTGTTGTGTTGTTGACACCGACAGTCACTTGTAAATGAGAAGGCAGTGAAGAAAGTTAGGACATTAGCAACGTTCAAGTGCTCTGCTCTCATTATTCATTGTAGCGCAGTACCTACTAGCAATTTTGCTTAGTAAAGCCAACATGTTCGTTAGCTTAGCCAGAGCTAAGTTAGCTCAATTTCTAGCTAGCTAACGTTAGTTAACTAGTTCAAATAGCTAGCTCTGTGATGAAGTAAACCACTTGCGACGCCCTCATGAACAGTGTTAATGTTATATTAAATATTGAATTACTCAGATACGCATCCAGAACATATGCATACATATGCATTTATCTCGGTCTACCTGTTTTTCCGCTGTTTCACTTTTCTAATGCGTCCCGCGCTGAGTCCAGTTCACAAGCAGACAGCACAGACAAAACGAACATTGGTTTCCCGCGTAGAGTTCGTCCATAACTTCCGGTAGAGGTCAACAGTGATAGGCTGAGTGGGGAAGGGGGCGGGTAGGAGAACCTGCAACATCAAAGATGATTCCGGTGCTGTAATACCAGAGTAATCCAAATGGTGGCAGACAGCACACAACCTCTCGAGTCTGGGTAATTTCAAGGAGTCTGCAAATTGACATTCAAAAGAGATTTCAACTGGCATTATATTAGAATAACAACATATATGCAGACATTCAAGGCATTGTAAGTGCATGATGTAATTTAGTTTGAGAATTAGGGTAAATTGGGAATTAGGAGGTGGGGAAGCCCTATTTAAAGTGCCTTCAGAAAGTATTCATTCTCCTTGATTTATTCAAAATTTTGTTGTCACCGCCAGAATTCAAAATGGATTAAATATTTTAATAACGCATAATGACAAAGTGAAAACATGTTTTTAGACATTTTTGCACCTTTTTTGAAAATCAAATATCTAATTTACATTAGTATTCACACCACTGAGTCATTACTTTGTAGAAGCAGCTTTGGCAGTGATTACAGCTATTAGTCTTTCTGGGTAAGTCTCTTAGTACTTTCCACACCTGCATTGGGCAACATTTGTCCATTGTTCTTTTCAAAATTCTTCAAGCTCTGTCAAATTGGTTGTTGATCATTGCTAGACAACCATTTTCAGGTCTTGCCATAGATTTTCAAGTAGATTTAAGTCAAATCTGTAACTCGGCCACTCGGGAACACTCACTGTCTTCTTGGTGAGCAACTTCAGTGTAGATTTGGCTTTGTGTTTTAGGTTATTATCCTGTGAAAAGGTGAATTAATCTCCCAGTGTCTAGTGGAAAGCAGACTGAACCAGGTTTTCCTCTAGGATTTTGCATGTGCTTAGCTCCATTCCGTTAATTTTTTATCCTGAAAAACTCCCCAGTCCTTAACAATTACAAGCATACCCATAACATGATACAGTCACACTATGCTTGAAAATATGGAATGGCACTCAGTAATGTGTTGTATTGGATTTGCCCTAAACGTAACACTTTGTGTTCATGACAACTAGTGAATTGCTTTGCTAAATGTTTTGCAATATTACTTTAGTGCAGGGGTGTCAAACTCAATCAGTGCATGGGCCAGACATAGCATATTATGTTTGTTTTTACAAAAAAACCTTGCATACAACTGCGATCAAAACTGGCCATTGTTTTCTTAGAAAAAAATATGGCTCTTTATAATGTTCACTTATGTACATAGGATGCTGCATATAGCATTTAACATATTAAAACAAAAGAAGAGATCAATTATATTTGTCCAGCCTTTGGTGCTATGCTTGCAGATGTGCATAATATACTGTGACCCTAATCAAAAAGTATATAGTAACTCCAAATAACTAAAACGTAGCTAGGTTGTTGTAACATTGAAACTTAAAATATGTGGCACTGCATGGATCACCAGTGCGGTTGAATGCAGCATTGCTGTATGCTTCATTGCGAAACATTGGAAAACCTCTGGTCTTTGTGGTTGAATCTGTGTTTGAAATGCACTGCTCGACTGAGGGGTGCAGAGATGAGGTAGTCATTCAAAAATCATATTAAACACTATTATTGCACACAGAGTCCATGCAACTTCAGCACATTTTTACTCCTGAACTTAGGCTTGCCATAAAAAAAAAAGTGGTTGAATACTTATTGAATCAAGACATTTCAGCATTTCATTTTTTATTAATTTTTTTAAATGACAAAAAACATAATTCCACGGACATTGGGTATTGGGTATAGGCCAGTCACAAAAAATCTAAATGTAATCCATTTTAAATTCAGGCTGTAACACAACAAAATGTGGAAAAAGTCAAAGGGTGTGAATACTTTCTGATATCACATTTACATAAGTATTCAGACCCTTTACTCAGTACTTTGTTGATGCACCTTTGGCAGCGATTACAGCCTTGAGTCTTCTTGGGTATGACGCTACAAGCTTGGCACACCTGTATTTGGGGAGTTTCTCCCATTCTTCTCTGCAGATCCTCTCAAGCTCTGTCAGGTTGAATGTGGAGTGTCGCTGCACAGCTATTTTCAGGTCTCTTCAGAGATGTTAGATCAGGTTCAAGTCCGGGCTCTGGCTGGGCCACTCATGGACATTCAGAGACTTGTCCCGAAGCCACTCCTGCGTTGTCTTGGCTGTGTGCTTAGGGTCGTTGTCCTGTTGGAAGGTGAACCTTCACCCCAGTCTGAGCGGATTTCATCAAGGATCTCTCTGTACTTTGCTCCATTCATCTTTCCCTCGATCCTGACTAGTCTTCCAGTCCCTGCCGCTGAAAAACATCCCCACAGCATGATGCTGCCACCACCATGCTTCACTGTAGGGATGGTGCCAGATTTCCTCCAGACGTGTCGCATGGTATTCAGGCCAAAGAATTCAATCTTGGTTTCATCAGACCAGAGAACCTTGTTTCTCATGGTCTGAGAGTCCTGTAGGTGCCTTTTGGCAAACTCCAAGTGGGCTGTCATGTGCTTTTTACTGAGGAGTGGCTTCCGTCTGGCCACTCTTCCATAAAGGCCTGATTGGTGGTGCTGCAGAGATGGTTGTCCTTCTGGAAGGTTCTCCCATCTCCACAGAGGAACTCTGGAGCTCTGCCAGAGTGACCATCAGGTTCTTGGTCACCTCCCTGACCAAGGCCCTTCTCCCCCAATTGCTCAGTTTGGCCGGGCGGCCAGCTCTAGGAAGAGTCTTGGTGGTTCCAAACTTATTCCATTTAATAATGATGGAGGCCACTTTGTTCTTGGGGACCTTCAAAAGGTGTGTGCCTTTCCAAATCATGTCCAATCAATTGAATTTACACAGGTGGACTCCAATCAAGTTGTAGAAACATCTCAAGGATGATCAATGGAAACAGGATGCACCTGAGCTCAATTTCGAGTCTCATAGCAAAAGGTCAGAATACTTATGTAACCTGTTTTCACTTTGTCATTATGGGGTCGTGTGTTCATTTCCTTTTTCGCTTGTAAAATAAGTTTAAAAAGTGTAAGAAACCTGAGGTAAAAGGAGAGGCAGGAATTATCTGTGACTATCCCCATGTCTGCCTCGCCTTACAGAGTTAGATGGATGACAACCCCTCCATCCATATCCTGCCCACAGGCCCCTACACAGGCCCCATGGACTCCACGTCAGTAAGAACCTGGTCGAGGATCTCGTCAATGACTGAACAGTCGTAGTTTACTTGTTCGAGGTCCAGCGCTGGGACAAACGTGACCAGGAGACGACCAACGCTCTTCCGAAGCTCCCTCAGTCTGAGAGAGAGAGACAGAAAAACAGACAGATTGTTCAACATGTACACTGTCAAATGAATACTGAAGGAAACAAAAGTTATTTCGCACACTGAAAATCTTATCCTCACATCTGGGGCGTCTCCGAGGTCGAGCCATTAGCAGCACTAGTGGCCTCTCCATCTCCCCTCTCTGCCTGGGCAGCTGCTGCCTGAGCTGCCTCTCTCTCCTGTTTCTCTCTCTCCCACTCTTGTTTCTCTCTCCTCAGCTCCACCACGTCCTGCTGCAGCGTCTCACAAAGGGACCAGAGGTTACCCCTCTCCTCCTCTATAATCTCCACCTGTAAATTGGGGAGCAAGCAGGGACACAGAGGGGATGATGAAAAAAGATTATGTGGAGAGGAAGAAGATATCAGATAGACACCCTGGCAATGTTCTTTTGCACACTGCATTGTCCATTTCCCAAATACTAACTGTACCGACAGCTGCTGGGCAAATCTTCCTTATTAAATATCAACAGCATACATACAAATCTATATGAGGCTACAAGATGGCCAGTTGGTCACTGACCTTCATCCTCTCCGACTGCTCTCCTTCTTCAGTCTGACAGGCCTGGTGGCAGTGCTCGCTCTTCACAGTGGCCTGGGAGAGCCTCTGCATGCTGCCCTCTAGGTCATGGAGCTGGGAGGTCAGCTTGTTGACTTGCTCCTTGAACTGGTCCCTCTCGTGGGCTGCAGCCTGCATGAGCTCCAGCAGCTGGTCCTGCTGCTCCTGGGCCTCTGACAGGTTACGGAAGTCAAGCATAGGATGGTCTGATGGGTCTGGGGCAGATGGGCCAGAAGAGGATGGGCCAGCAGAGGATGGGCCTGGTGTGGATGGGCCAGCAGAGGATGGGCTTGGTGTGGAGGGGCCTGGTTCGGTTCTGTCTCTACCTTTTTCCTCCTGCTCCCTCTTCTTCTTGTCCTCCTCATCTTCGCACTTCACTTTGCTCCGTATCTCTGTCTGGGTGGTGATGCTCACCTGCTCTGAGGAAGGTGGTGGAGGGGAGTAGTTGGTCACTGCAGTTCCCATCTCCACAGAGCTTGTTCCTGTGCAGCTGGTCTTAATGTTGCCAGTACCAGAAGGTGTCTCCATGGCCCTGCTCTCTGATTTTACCGTTGCAAGGTCAAAGGTTGCCTTATTTTGAATAGGGGTGCTGTTGGTCTCCAAGATCATAACGTCATCGTCAATAGGGATGACGACTGACGTGGATGACATGGATGTCTCTGCAGCCGGTGATGCAGTCTCCATGGGGGTGTTGTTGTGGAAACCATTCACCCTGGGTCTTTTTGTCTCACTTTCAGGGGTCATGGCCAGTTTTCTCTTCATTCTACAGAGGGGGTATGGGGGTTATCACATGATGCACTATTGAACTAATAATGAGGATTATTGACAAAATGTCTCTGTCCCCTGTGGCAATGATATGAACTACAAACACTACGAGAGAGAGAGAGAGCGCATACAAGGGAGGAGAGACACTACCACTCAGACAGTGGGCCTACCTTGAAGGGGTCGTAAGGGTTGACGGGGCTGGAGGGGTTGACGGGGCTGGAGGGGTTGACGGGGCTGGAGGGGTTGACGGGGCTGGAGGGGTAGACAGAGAGCACACGCTAGAGATGAGGGACATATTTTTGGAGGAAGGGCTGGTCCCTATGAAGAGACACACACATTTATATCAATACCTATATTATTAAAAACATCCCCATCAACATCACACATGCACACACAGCTCGTACAGTAGACTTACCTGCTTTTGTGAGGTGAGAGATCCTCTGGTGCTTCAGAGTCTTGTTCTTCTGAGCCAGCGCATTCATCTGCTCTGCCTTCTTCTGCTCATCTTCATTCTGACACACACACGGCATTAGCACGTACACAACAGGGTAGTTTGGGTAGGGTACACAAAATGTAAGCGAGAACAAAACATTTGTGGGCATAACATAATCATGAACCAGGATGTGACATACACTACATGACTAAAAGTATGTGGACACCTGCTTGTCTAACATCTCATTCCAAAATCATGGGCATTAATATGGAGTTGGTCCCCCCTTTGCTGCTATAACAGCCTCCGCTCTTCTGGTAAGGCTTTCCACTAGATGTTGGAACATTGCTGCGGGGACTTGCTTCCATTCTAGCCACAAGAGCATTAGTGAGGTCGGGCACTGATGTTGGGCAATTAGGCCTGGCTCACAGTCGGCGTTCCAATTCATCCCAAAGGTGTTCGATGGGGTTGAGGTCAGGGCTCTGGACTTTGCTTTGTGCACGGGGGCATTGTCATGCTGAAACAGGAAAGGGCCTTCCCCAAACTGTTGCCACAAAGTTGGAAGCACAGAATCATCTAGAATGTCATTGTATGCTGTAGCGTTACGATTTCCCTTCACTGGAACTAAGGGGCCTAGCATGAACCATGAAAAACAGCCCCAGACCATTATTCCTCCTCCACCAAACTTTACAGTTGGCACTATGCATTGGGGTAGGTAGCATTCTCCTGGCATCCGCCAAACCCAGATTCTTCCGTCGGACTGCCAGAAGGTGAAGCGTGATTCATCACTCCAGAGAACGTGTTTCCACTGCTCCAGAGTCCAATGGCGGCAAGCTTTACACCACTCCAGCCGATGCTTGGAATTGCGTGTGGTGATCTTAGGCTTGTGTGCGGCTGCTCGGCCATGGAAACCCATTTCATGAAGCTCCCGACTAACAGTTATTGTGCTGACGTTGCTTCCAGAGGCAGTTTGTAACTCGGTAGTGAGTGTTGCAACCGAGGACAGACGACTTTTACGAGCTACGCGCTTCAGCACTCGCCGGTCCCGTTCTGTGAGCTTGTATGGCCTACCACTTCGCTGCTGAGCCATTGTTGCTCCTAGACGTTTCCACTTCACAATAAGAGCATTACAGTTGACCGGGGCAGCTCTAACAGGGCAGAAATTTGACAAACTGACTTTTTTTGTAAAGGTAGCATCCTATGACGGTGCCACGTTTAAAGTCAATGAGCTCTTCAGTAAGGCCATTCTACTAACAATGTTTGTCTATGGAGATTGCATGGCGGTGTGCTCGATTTTATGGACCTGTCAGCAATGGATGTGGCTGAACTAGCCGAATACACTAATTTGAAGGGGTGTCCACATACCTTTGTATATATAGTGTTTACACTGATGGACAGACACACAGACTGCTGACCTGTTGCTTCATTTTGGTGTTCCTTTCACTGTGAAACAGAACACAGATTGACTGACATAGAAAAAACACACTGGCACCATTGAGATTTAATTAAATTTAACATGAAAAGCAGTAATTGCATTAATCTCACCTGCTGACATTCTATACATTCTATAGAATAGCCTATATACAATGTTAACGTCTTGCCTACTGTGTTGTAAAATGAAGGCAACAGCTCACTTGCACATGAATCTGTCAAGTTTTCTTTGGGCTTTACACTTTTCTAGTCTGAACACCTGCTCATTCATCCTTATTTATATACACATGCGATTTGACAGATGACTGCAAGCATGCTGTTACCTATGCCAGCTAGCTATTTTGCGTTTGATAGTAAATAAGTTGAAACATATACACGCAGTTGTCGGCTATTTGGCCGTGTTGTCGGCTACATGTTACATAATTTTTTTTAAACCTGCGTCGAGTAAAACGGTCGGTAGGAATGCTAATGTTTCTCACTAGAATAAATGGCCTGGCTTCTACCAACTGTAAGTATTGTGGTGGGAAAACTCTCAGCATCATGAAAACTCAAGCAACTTGTGCCGTGAACCAGTATGGTAAACATGTCGCATTTCGCGGAAGGTCTAACGTTTTTTTTTCACTCCATGCATAGACAAAATAACGATGCATGTTTCAGCCTCAAGTTCCATTATCTGCAAATAGCCTACATGTTCAGTTATGCATTACAAATATAGTTAGATGCAGCATCATTGATACAGTATATGGTAGGGTTCTCACTGTTGCTTGTGGGTTTTCTGGTATGAAGGTTGGTCATCACTGGAGTCTTCAGGCTCTTCCTCTACCGTGCAACTCCTGGAAAGGTAAGGGATACTGAATGCCATATACTGTAGTGGCAACGTCAACACACACAAGCACACATACAAATGCATGCACACCAGTTGGCAAGTAGGCATGCACACTGTGCCACATACACATTGGGGGGGAACAGACAATATACACTGAGTATACAAAACATTAAGAACACCTGCCCTTTCCTTGACATAGACTGACCAGGTGAAAGCTATGATCCCTTACTGATGTCACTTGTTAAATCCACTTCAAATCAGTGTAGATGAAGGGGAGAAGACAGGTTAAAGAAGGATCTTTAAGCCTTGAGACGACTGAGACATGGATTGTGTATGTGTGCCATTCAGTGGGTGAATGGTCAAGACATATGATTTAAGTGCCTATGAACGGGGTATGGTAGTAGGTGCCAGGCGCACCGGTTTGTGTCAAGAACTGCAACGCTGCTGGGTTTTTTACGCGCAACAGTTTCCCGTGTGTATCAAGAATGGTCCACCAACCAAAGGACATCCAGCCAACTTGACACAACTGTGGGAAGCATTGGAGTCAACATGGGCCAGCATCCCTGTGGAATGCTTTCAACACGTAGTCCACACCATGACAAATTGAGGCTGTTCTGAGGGCAAAAAGGGCAGGTGCAACTCACTATTAGGAAGGTGTTCCTAATATTTGGTATACTCAGTGTATTTTATAACACCTGTTATAAGTATTATTATTTGATCTAGGTGGGTTTGGGACACACCTGAACTGGGGGTCAGGGTTCATGTGGCAGAACCACTCCTCTGGGAGCCGTTTACAATCAATCCCATCTGGCAGCTTCCTCCAGCGCAGGCAGGTGCCACACTGCACCCAGGTCTGGTCCGGACGCTTCCTATGGGTGTAGAGATACACAGAAGAACCAGTAAGGGAGGAATGGAGAGACATAGGAAAGGAAAACAGAGGAGTGTTTTACTTACATGGTGTCTTCCACTGGTACGGTGCAGTTAGGATCTTCTTTGTTTCTCTTAAAGCGTATCTCTTTCCAGTAGTCCTCCAGCTTTACCCCCAAGTTGCTGATGGTTTTCCTGCACAAAGAAAATAAGAAATAAAACAGTTCACCTAGTGCTGATTTATTCAGCTAGATTATTGAAAGTACACCATCTTTAAAGTGAGTGTGGGCAGATGGCCGCAAAATAGTTTTGTTTTATTCAGTGGGAAACAGTTCCTTAGGACATGTTCTTGAATGGAGCACTCTCCTCATTACCTGTATTTGTCAGGTGTCCTTACCTGTATTTGTCAGTGTTGTCAAAATCCTGCTTGTTGTGGGTGGGCTCCAGAAAGTTACACTCGATGACCCCAATGACCCCGAGACCTTGGATGTTGGCCTGAGGGGGGGGTAGAGGTGGTTATTGGGTCAGTGATGGAGTACATACAGTGCATTCGGAAAGTATTCAGACCCCTTCCCTTCTTCCACTTTGTTACGTTACAGCCAGAGGTGGGTAGAGTAGCCAAAAATTGTACTCAAGTAAAAGTACTGTTACTTCAGAATAATATGACTCAAGTAAAAGTAAAAAGTTGTCATCCAAATAATTACTTGAGTAAGAGTAAAAAAGTACTTGGTGAAAAAACTACTCAAGTACTGAGTAACTGTTGAGTAACGTCTGATTTATTTTTTAACACAAGACAACAATCAGACAGACAAAAATACAAAATAATCATCTTTAGGCAAATTATAGTTCATCCAATCAATAAAATAAATTAAAATAAATTACAAAATAGCTTAAATTAAAACAAATCAGGTAAATTCAAGTACTTATATAAAATAAGTAAAATAAGTATAATAAAATAATAAAAAATAAATAAGCACAAGTAACACAAATTTCCAAACCTTTATACTTTTTTTACCAGGCAGAACTAGAACGAGGCAGCCCATAAACTGTGTGTGTGTCTCCACAGTGTCTCCACAGTGACAGAACAACAGAAGGAAACACACAAACATTTCATACCAGGCATGCTGAACAGAAAACTGCACACCAGAAGGAAGCGGTCAATGTAAAATAATCAATAGGTGTTGATTAGGCCAACTCAGTACCTTTGTATTGTATGGCAAGTAACAGCCCTTTTTCTGTGTGCCTAGAAATTAATACTCTGATCTGTGATTAGGCCACACTGCACATCTCACTGAGCAGAGGAAAAGAGCAGCAGTACACATCAACTGAAAAAGCACCAGTCCATGATAGATGGCCAAATAAAACAATATTGCAGGCCTAGTATCCCAGAACACAAATTAAGCTGAATGCATGTTCTATAAAAGGCATCAGAGGAGAGTGATGTAGATGTCGATGGGGCATTATGTTTACTTCCAGTTCCAATATCTAACAAGAAAAGTCAGCAAAATAAAGTCACACTTGTAACCTAAAAGACAAACATTCACCTATCCACAGCAAAAAAATTTTTTTTTAGGAAATTTACCGCTACTAGTTTCCTCAAGTTAGATGTTGAGTTCTTGAATGCTGAAATGTCTGTTTGTTTTGGTAGACACAGAAGACACCGCATAATGTAGCTGCTCTTTCGCACTTTTACTAAGGTAAACATGCTTTCAATATGAGGCCAGGGGTGCGGGTGTTCCTCCTCGTCTGTGTCTGCATTGCCGACGGCTAATTCTGACATTTTTGTGTTGCTACGACTGTAAAGCTAACCCGTCCCGCCGCTGAGATTGAGTATGGTAACGTGACTGCACAACTACGTTTGATTGGTGAAACACAGTCACGTGGTAGAGCCTTAGCGGAAGTCTCTCTCTCTCTGTCAAAATAAAACATTAAAATAAGGTATATGCGGGGGGATAAAGACAATGACGCGTAGAATACCAAAGAGGTAAAAAGAAAAGTAACGACCTCATTGTAGCCTAATGTAGCGGAGTAAGAGTACAGTTTCTTCTTCACAAATCTACTCAAGTAAAAGTAAAAAGTATAGTGATTTAAAACTACTCCTAGAAGTATAATTTTTTCAAAAACGTACTCAAGTAAATGTAACTCGTTACTACCCACCTCTGGTTACAGCCTTATTTTAAAATGGATTAAATTAATGGTTTCCCCTCATCAACCTACACACAATACCCCATAATGACAAAGCCAAAACAGGTTTTTAGAAATGTTTGCACATTTACATATGTATTCAGACCCTTTGCTATGAGACTCGAAATTGAGCTCAGGTGCATCCTGTTTCCATTGATCATCCTTGAGATGTTTCTACAACTTGATTGGAGTCTACCTGTGGTAAATTCAATTGATTGGACATGATTTGGAAAGGTACACAAACCTGTCTATATCAGGTCCCACATTTGACAGTGCATGTCAGAGCAAAAACCAAGCCATGAGGTCGAAGGAATTGTCTGTGGAGGCACAGATCTGAGGAAGGGTACCAAAACATTTCTGCAGCATTGATGGTCCCCAAGAACACATTGGCCTCCATCATTCTTAAATGGAAGAAGTTTGGAACCACCAAGACTCTTCCTAGAGCTGGCCGCCTGGCCAAACTGAGCAATTGGGGGAGAAGGGCCTTGCAAGGTCAGGGAGGTGACCAAGAACACGATGGTCACTCTGACAGAGCTCCAGAGTTCCTCTGTGGAGATGGGAGAACCTTCCAGAAGGACAACAATCTCTGCAGCACTACACTAAATCAGGCCTTTATGGTAGAGTGGCCAGACGGAAGCCACTCCTCAGTAAAAGGCGCATGACAGCACGCTTGGAGTTTGCCAAAAGGCACCTAAAGGACTCTCAGACCATGAGAAACAAGATTCTCTGGTCTGATTAAACCAATATTGAATTATTTGGCCTGAATGCCAAGCGTCAGGTCTGGAGGAAACCTGGCACCATCCCTATGGCGAAGCATGGTGGTGACAGCATCATACTGTGGGGATGTTTTTCAGCGGCAGGGACTGGGAGAGTAGTCAGGATCGAGGGAAAGATGAACGGAGCAAAGTACAGAGAGATCCTTGATGAATACCTGCTCCAGAGCACTCAGGACCTCAGACTGGGGTGAACGTTCGCCTTCCAATGGGACAATAACCCTAAGCACACAGCCAAGACAAAGCAGGAGTGGCTTCGGGACAAGTCTCTGAATGTCCTTGAGTGGCCCAGCCAGAGCCCGGACTTGAACCCGATCGAACATCTCTGGAGAGACCTGAAAATAGCTGTGCAGCGATGCTCTCCATCCAACCTGACAGAGCTTGAGAGGATCTGCAGAGAATTAGAGAAACTCCCCAAATACAGGTGTGCCAAGCTTGTAGTGTCATACCCAAGAAGACTTGAGGCTGTAAACGCTGCCAAAGGTGCTTCAACAAAGTACTGAGTAAAGGGTCTGAATACTTATGCAAATGTGATATCCGTTTTTTTTTATACATTTGCACAAATAAAATAAAAACGTTTTTGCGTTGTCATTATGGGTTATTGTGTGTAGATTGATGAGGGAAAAAAACAATTCAATCCATTTTAGAATAAGGCTGTAACGTAACAAAATGTGGAAAAAGTCAAGGGGTCTGAATACTGTCCGAACGCAAGTACCACAATGGAAGCATCAGAGTACCACAATGGATGGCGGTCATTTTTCTTATGCACATGCACAATCACCACAGGCACATGCACATACACTATTCTACCTTGAGTTGAACGCCAACTCGCTCATAGGCTTTGATAAGGCGGTTCTTGTGGTACATCATGATGCCGTATTGGTCCTTGCTCTTGGTGTTGTAACCAAAGGTGATGGGGATGCGGCTGTTCTGGTATAGGACTTAAGGACAACTCAAACAGGATGGAGAGCAGTGGCAAATATACTTTTCCCTTTATGAAAAATACCATATTGTATCACTGTGTTGTACCTGAACATCTAACTATGGAATGCATTGAACTAATATTAGCTAAAGATAGGTAACTGATTATTGCAAACTTCTAAAGTGTTTCGTCTATGGCAGTGACTGATGGTATGTCATGTATATAGAGCATAGTACCCATATTTGCCTATTACTATTTTCCCTCCAAATGTAAACAAAAGTATTGTCTCGAGGATGTGACAACATGCGCACGCGCACACACTAAAGCCATCCACAGAGGCTCCAGGGTGAGGAAGGATACCACAAAGTTGGGCTTGTAATGGTCCTTAGCGATGTAGGCCAGGCTCTTGGAGATGAGCTCAGTCTTCACTTTCTGCCCTCGAATGATGATCTGCATCCGGGGCTTCAGGTACAGAATCCTGCAGTATGCCTGAGCACACAAAAACACATTGATAAACAAACAAAGTATGAAATATTTCACACATACAAAATGATAACACCTGTCAAAGGATAAGGTTCACACACCTTGCATAGTCTTCACAATGCCTTAGAATTAAATGAAAAGGGATTAAATTAGATATTTTTTTGCTACGGATCTACACAACCTACTCTACATTTTCCAAATTAATAAAAAATGAACATGTGTTGATTGCATGTCTTCACACCCCAGAATGAATACTTGGTGGAAGTACTTTTAGCAGCCATTACAGCTGTAAATAATTTTAAATAAGATTCAACCAATCTTGCACAACTCTTAGGGAAACATATAGAAGTACATACAGTGCATTCGGAAAGTATTCAGACCCCTTGACTTTTTCCACATTTTGTTACGTTAGTCTTATTCTAAAATTGATTAAATTATTGCTTTTCATCATCAATCTACACACAATACCCCATAATGACGAAGCAAAAACAGGTTTTTAGAAATTTGTGCAAATGTATATAAAAGAAATATTTAAAAAAGATCACATTTACATAATAAGTACTCAGACCCTTTACTCAGTACTTTGTTGAAGCACCTTTGGCAGAGATTACAGCCTGGAGTCTTCTTGGGTATGAAACTACAAGCTTGGCACACCTATTCTTCTCAGGGAAAGGGGGATACCTAGTCAGTTGTAAAACTGAATGCATTCAACTGAAGTGTGTCTTCTGCATTTAACCCAAACCCTCTGAATCAGAGAGGTGCGGAGGGCTGCCTTAAAATCAACCACCACGTCTTCGGCGCTCGGGGAACAGTGGGTTAACTGCTTTGCTCAGGGGCAGAACGACAAATGTTTAACTTGTCAGCTTGGGGATTCGAATCAGCAGCCGCCCAACGCCACAGATCTTCTCAAGCTCTGTCAGGTTGGATGGGGAGCATCGCTGCACAGCTATTTTCAGATCTCTCCAGAGATGTTTGATCGGGTTCAAGTCCGGGCTCTGGCTGGGCCACTCATGGACATTCAGAGACTTGTCCCGAAGCCACTCCTGCGTTGTCTTGGCTCTGTGCTTAGGGTCTTTGTCCTGTTGGAAGGTGAAACTTCGCCCCAGTCTGAGGTCCTGAGCGCTCTGGAGCAAGTTTTCATCAAGGATCTCAATCCTGACTAGTCTCCCAGTCCCTGCCGCTGAAAAACATCCCCACAGCATGCTGCCACCACCATGCTTCACCGTAGAGATGGTGCCAGATTTCCTCCAGACGTGACGCTTGGCATTCAGGCCAAAGAGTTCAATCTTGGTTTCAGACTAGAGAATCTTGTTTCTCATGGTCTGATTCCTTTAGGTGCCTTTTGGCACAGTCCAAGCGGGCTGTCATGTGCCTTCTACTAAGGAGTGGCTTCCGTCTGGCCACTACCATAAAGGCCTGATTGGTGGAGTGCTGCAGAGATTGTTGTCCTTCTGGAAGGTTCTCCAATATCCACAGAGGAACTCTGACCAAGGCCCTTCTCCCCCGATTGCTTAACTTGGCTGAGTGGCCAGCTCTAGGAAGAGTCTTGGTGGTTCCAAATTCTTCCATTTAAGAATGATGGAGGCCACGGTGTCTTGGGGACATTCAATGCTGCAGAAATGTTTTGGTACTCTTCCCCAGATCTGTGCCTCCACACAATCCTGTCTCGGAGCTCTATGGACAATTACTTCGACTTCATGGCTTGGTTTTTGCTCTGACATACACTGTCAACTGTGGAACATTATATAGACAGATGTGTGCCTTTCCAAGTCATGTCCAATCAATTGAATTTACCACAGGTGGACTCCAATCCAGTTGTAGAAACATCTCAAGGATGAGCAATGTAAACAGGATGCACCGGAGTGTAATTTCGAGTCTCTTAGCAAACGTTCTGAATACTTATGTAAATAAGGTATCTGTTTCCTATTTTTAATACATTTGCAAGATTTTCTAAAAACCTGTTTTTGCTTTGTCATTATGGGGTATTGTGTGCAGGTTGATGAGGATTTTTATTTATTTAATCCATTTAAAAATAAGGCTGTAACAAAATGTGGAAAAAGTCAAGGGGTTTGAATACTTTCAGAATGCTTGCTTGCTGGCTGTTCATACACACGCACACACACAGTCAAACGTTTTAGAACACCTACTCATTCAAGGGTTTTTCTTAATTTTTTACTATTTTCTACATTGTAGAATAATAGTGAAGACATCAAAACTAAAAAGAGTGTTAAACAAATATATATTTTATATTTGAGATTCTTCAAATAGCCACCCTTTACCTTGATGACAACTTTGCACACTCTTGGCATTCTCTCAACCAGCTTCATGAGGAAGTCACCTGGAATGCATTTCAATTAACAGGAGTGCCTTCTTAAAAGTTAATTTGTGGAATTTCTTTCCTTCTTAATGCGTTTGAGCCAATCAGTCGTGTTGTGACAAGGTAGGGGGGTATACAGAAGATAGCCCTATTTGGTAAAAGACCAAGTCCATATTATTGCAAGAATACCTCAAATAAGCAAAGCAAAACGACAGTCCATCATTACTTTAAGACATGAAGGTCAGTTAATACGGAACATTACAAGAACTTTGAAAGTGCAGTCACAAAAACCATCAAGCGCTATGATGAAACTGGCTCTCATGAGGACCGCCACAGGAATGGAAGACCCAGAGTTACCTCTGCTGCAGAGGATAGGTTCATTAGAGTTACCAACCTCAGAAATTGCAGCCCAAATAAATGCTTCAAAGTTCAAGTATCAGACACATCTCAACATCAACTGTTCAGAGGAGACTGTGTGAATCAGGCCTTCATGGTCGAATTGCTGCAAAGAAACCACTACTAAAGGACACCAATAAGAAGAATTGACTTGCTTGGGCCAAGAAACACTTTCAAAGTTCTTGAAATGTTCCGTATTGACTGACCTTCATGTCTTAAAGTAATTATGGACTGACAATTCTCTTTGCTTATTTGAGCTGTTCTTGCCATAATATGGACTTGGTATTTTACAAAATAGGGCTATCTTCTGTATACACCCCCAACTTGTCACAACACAAGTGATTGGCTCAAACACACAAAATAACTATTAAGAAGGTACACCTGTTAATTGAAATGCATTCCAGGTGACTACCTCATAAAGCTGGTTGAGAGAATGCAAAGAGTGTGCAAAGCTGTCATCAAGGCAAAGGGTGGCTACTTTGAAGAATCTCAAATATAAAATATATTTTGATTTGTTTAACACTTTTTTGGTTACTACATGATTCCATTTGTTATTTCATAGTTTCGATGTCTTCACTATTATTCTACAATGTAAAAAATAGTAAAAATAAAGAATAACCCTTAAATGAGTAGGTTTCTCCAAACTTTTGACTGGTAGTATACAGTGGGGGAAAAAAGTATTTAGTCAGCCACCAATTGTGCAAGTTCTCCCACTTAAAAAGATGAGAGAGGCCTGTTATTTTCATCATAGGTACACGTCAACTATGACAGACAAAATGAGAAAAAAAAATCAGAAAATCACATTGTAGGATTTTTTATGAATTTATTTGCAAATTATGGTGGAAAATAAGTATTTGGTCAATAACAAACGTTTCTCAATACTTTGTTATATACCCTTTGATGGCAATGACACAGGTCAAACGTTTTCTGTAAGTCTTCACAAGGTTTTCACACACTGTTGCTGGTATTTTGGCCCATTCCTCCATGCAGATCTCCTCTAGAGCAGTGATGTTTTGGGGCTGTCGCTGGGCAACACGGACTTTCAACTCCCTCCAAAGATGTTCTATGGGGTTGAGATCTGGAGACTGGCTAGGCCACTCCAGGACCTTGAAATGCTTCTTACGAAGCCACTCCTTCGTTGCCCGTGCGGTGTGTTTGGGATCATTGTCATGCTGAAAGACCCAGCCACGTTTAATCTTCAATGCCCTTGCTGATGGAAGGAGGTTTTCACTCAAAATCTCACGATACATGGCCCCATTCATTCTTTCCTTTACACGGATCAGTCGTCCTGGTCTCGTTGCAGAAAAACAGCCCCAAAGCATGATGTTTCCACCCCCATGCTTCACAGTAGGTATGGTGTTCTTTGGATGCAACTCAGCATTCTTTGTCCTCCAAACACGACGAGTTGAATTTTTACCAAAAAGTTAAATTTTGGTTTCATCTGACCATATGACATTCTCCCAATCCTCTTCTGGATCATCCAAATGCACTCTAGCAAACTTCAGACGGGCCTGGACATGTACTGGCTTAAGCAGGGGGACACGTCTGGCACTGCAGGATTTGAGTCCCTGGCGGCGTAGTGTGTTACTGATGGTAGGCTTTGTTACTTTGGTCCCAGCTCTCTGCAGGTCATTCACTAGGTCCCCCCGTGTGGTTCTGGGATTTTTGGTTCTTGTGATCATTTTGACCCCATGGGGTGAGATCTTGCGTGGAGCCCCAGATCGAGGGAGATTATCAGTGGTCTTGTATGTCTTCCATTTCCTAATAATTGCTCCCACAGTTGATTTCTTCAAACCAAGCTGCTTACCTATTGCAGATTCAGTCTTCCCAGCCTGGTGCAGGTCTACAATTTAGTTTCTGGTGTCCTTTGACAGCTCTTTGGTCTTGGCCATAGTGGAGTTTGGAGTGTGACTGTTTGAGGTTGTGGACAGGTGTCTTTTATACTGATAACAAGTTCAAACAGGTGCCATTAATACAGGTAACGAGTGGAGGACAGAGGAGCCTCTTAAAGAAGAAGTTACAGGTCTCTGAGAGCCAGAAATCTTGCTTGTTTGTAGGTGGCCAAATACTTATTTTCCACCATAATTTGCAAATAAATTCATTACAAAATCCTACAATGTGATTTTCTGGATTATTTTTTCTCAATTTGTCTGTCACAGTTGACGTGTACCTATGATGAAAATTACAGGCCTCTCTCATCTTTTTAAGTGGGAGAACTTGCACAATTGGTGGCTGACTAAATACTTTTTTCCCCCCACTGTATATATATATATATATATATATAGTAAGTACAGTATATCCATTGTTTTTGCCCTCTCACTCAAACTCGTCATTTTTGTTGTCTTATATTGCACCTAAACCACATTTTCCAGGAATATTCTCATCATGTTACTCAATGTATCAAAAGTATTTTCTGATTTCGTTATCAACAAATGCGGCGAAAAGTACAGTAAATGTAAAATGTACATAAAATCAACAGTGTATTGATATTATGTATTTAAGTGTCATACACCTACCGGTGCCCAGCCCACATGGTCTTTCAAGACACTACAGAACAAAATAACATTTTACAAATGACATGCATACAATGATCATGGCAAGTACAGCTACCATCTAGCCACACTACACAAACAGTACATTTCTATTTCTCCTCCAGGCATTGTGAAGAAACTGAGCAATCTCAAGCATGCCCTGTCTGAAACGAAATTCAAGCCTCTGCTCGTCCCGTAACCAGAATACTTCAGGGTTATCAACAAAAATGGTACAACAACATAACGTCTCAGATCGTCATACAGAGAGCAATAAAACACTAAATGGACTTTGTTTTCCCATGGGGCGGCGCACAATTGGCCCAGCGTCGTCCAGGGTAGGGGAGGGAATGGCCGGCAGGGATGTAGCTCAGTTGGTAGAGCATGGCGTTTGCAACGCCAGGGTTGTGGGTTTGATTCCCACGGGGGGCCAGTATGAAAAATACAAAAAATAACGTATGCACTCACTAACTGTAAGTCGCTCTGGATAAGAGCGTCTGCTAAATGACTAAAATGTAAATGTAAATGTAAAATGTTTTCGATTTCCCCAAGATCACACAGCAGGCAAATTCTTTCCTCTTCACGCACGCTTAAATCTACCCACCTCTATAGCCAGAGGGAGGGAGCGGATCTGAGTTGTGCACAAACTGATCTTTAGCTTTTTGTTAGGTTCAGGCAGACATGGTTAAAGGTGTGTAGTTTTCTTTGATGAGAGTGTACGTTCTAAGTTTAGGTTTAAAGCGTAATGTTTGAATTCAGTCTTGTGAGCTATGTCCTCACCTTTGGTCTAATAGTTTACCCATAATTTCCTAACATTTCCCTTTCAATTGCTAGCATGGTTATGCATATAGGGTTAATCTGGAAAAGTGTATATAATTTTCTTTCACTTTGAAAATGTGGAGGAGGTTGTGTAGATCAGTAAGAAAATCTAAATAATAATCCCTTTTCAGATTTAATTTTAAAGGCAGCAAAATGTGAAGACTGTCCAAGGGGTGTGTAGACTTTCACTGGCACTGTATTTGAGTCAACCTTACAAGCTCAAGATATGATCTGTTGTGCAAAATGCTGTTTGGTAAATCAATATAACATTATAATAAGTATACTCAGTCATCACTTACACGTAGCGAGTAGTAACTCTCTGGTTTTGTGAGCAACTCTGACCGTCTGTATTGCTCACTGGTGCTCTCTAACACATCCAACGGGATTTTGATGTCGTCGCTGGATGTTGTGAAATCAAATTCTGTTGGTCCTGTTAACGTCCTGTGGACATTAACAAACAAACACTTACTGTATAGGCTCTTACTCAACAGTTGTACTTGCTCCACACTTCAAAAAGGGCCCCTACTGGTGGAATTTTTAGGTTTTGATTACGGGGAAAACAGAAGTGAAACCTAAAATTCTACCAAGGGCATTCACATAGGCAGAGGGAGAAGTGACATTTGAAAGTAAAATTCCACATAGCGAAACCCTATAGTTGTGGGAGATGGAAAGGGAAGAGAATGCATGTGTGTATGTGTGTCTGACCTGCGCAGGTTCCAGACGATAATGCGTGTTCCTGAGAAGCCTGTGGAGCTGATGGCTTCGAGCTCTTCGAGCAGCTCGTTCTCCGTATTAAAGAGAGAGTAGCGCAGGATGTCCTGCAGACTAGCCTTGTGCTTCTCATTCACACAGAGTGCACCGGAAGTCAAGGACAACACACACAGGGACAACACAAAAGATAGATAGACCTAAATACCTAACAGTATTTAAGGTTGGCACTATAAAATAACACTGTACATGTACATCTAAATCCAACCTGTTTGAAGGTGATGACAGTTTGGGCACTGTGTGTGTATGTATGTATATAGTCTCTCTATAAAAGGATATACTGGCTGTGTGGGACACATTGGAAGGAGATGATGGGCACAATGATCTCATCTGCTTTGATCTGTCCCAGGTAGCTCTGGGAGAGCATGCCTACTTGCATAGTGTCTCCGTCTTGCAACTTGGAGAACACGATGGCATCTCGCCCCAGACGCATGGACCCGGACTTGAAGCCGTTACCATAGAGACCAATCGGGTGCTTGCCACATATGACTTTCTTATCACTGTAACCGAAGCTGAAAGAGAAAAAGAGAGAAACATGCTATTTTTGTGTACATCAATCGTAAACTTGCATTCTTATAGCATAGCATAAGAACATTAACATGTTTTACTTGTCCCTGGTTTGTTCCAGGGACATCTCTTAGGATGTTTTCAGGACATGCGCTGAACATTTGTTTTTCCAGTCTTTAAAACATAAACATAATTGTCCTAAGGGAACATTCTCTAAGGGACTTTTGCCTAGTTCCCTGGACGTTACTGAGGACCGGGTCAGAGCGTTTTTAGGATGTTCTCAGAACATTCATCAATGTACCAGTGGTCAGGACGTCTCGTGATGGTCCCAAGGGAGTGGTCTCTGCAGGACTTTTGTCTATATCTAACCTGATTCACCCTGCTAAAGTAGTGGTAGTCGTTGAAAAACTGTCCCTACCTGAGCATCTTGTGCATCTTTTCATAGTCCAATCCATTTCCATTGTCCATGAAGATGAGGCAGTCTTGACCTTTGATCTGGGTCTTATCAATCCAGAACTGCATGGCGTTGACATCAGGATCATAGGCATTGTCTGGTGAAAGATATAGATATAGAGATAGAGGATGTAAGCATAGATGCATACACAGTATACAATGAAAATTACTTTTTGACACAAGAGTATTGCTATTATAGTACTTTGCTATGCAAATAACCAGTCCCTTTCATAGTGTAGTTTATAAAACCCTATACTAGACCACCCATGCCACCTCATTATTGCTTTTCAATGGAGAACAAGACTATGGCCAAGCCGACACATCCACGCTAAACCTGCATAGCAGTCCAAGCCAAACCCTCCATCTGCCAGCTGTGTTGCTACTGCTGTGGAAAACTACCACACCACCAGGGTTTTAGACGCCCCAGAAATTCAACATTCAAAATGGTGTAATGTAAAGTGTGATAGATAGATCATGTCTCCCTTTGTTGCTTGTGCAATGTGGACCATTAAGGCTTGGACACACTGGTAGCGTTTGCAGGCTGAGAGTACATACCTTTGAACAGAGTGATGGCGCTAATTTGCATATTGAGTGCAAACCGATTCTTCATGTAGAAACGGCTGAAAAATGTTGATGCCTACCGGCGGTTGGTCCCTTAATCACACCCCGCTGAACGAACGGCGAACGAAAGGCAGACCGTCATTCGGTGCAACGTGTTTTCTCCTTTAGAACAGCCTGCCTGGGACAGCTGTCACGGAGGATGCAACCCCAGCCTCTTCTACAGATGCTACATCCTCATGACACTGACATTAGGCTAACACAAACATGTGGTCTGGTCTCCCACTCTCCCCAACTATCTTCAAATCAATCCCTCTATCAATTCAGCCATCTCTTTTTCAATTTTCCTCCCTACCGACATCTTTGTACTACTATCTTTTATTGTCTAGCTCCCCCTCTCTCCATTATTCTGTCTGGAGTAGGCTTGAATCCAAGGTAGAGGTAAAAATACAGAGAAATAGTGTGATGGGTTAGGAAAAGTGAGGGGTATGGAAAGAAGTCAAGAGTGTGAGATACAGGGACACAGAAAGTTTTTTAGTTAATTTTTTAGTTATTAGTTAATCAGACTATTCTCTCATTGATTTCATTTTTGCGACCATCAGGCGACGTCCCTGGGACAAACCGGGAACAAGGCAAAAACCTCCAGGGGTCCATGACAACTTCCAAAGAACATTCGGTGGACCTTCAGGGGACAATGACAACATCCCAAGAACGTCCTCGATGACATCCCGGGACCAACCAGGAACTAGACAAACCCACAAGGGGACCATGACACAACGTCCCAAGAACATCCTAGGGACCAAGCTGGAAATAGACAAAACTTCCAGGGGACCATAACACAACGTCCTGACGACTTTAGGCGACCATTTCCTAACGACTCATTATTGTTTGCAGGGAGGTCATTACCAATTAATTAATTAATTAATTGGGACTTTTAAGGTGTGCCTTAGAATTTGTTTATCCCATCAAGGTGTGCCTGGGTTAAAAAAGGTTGGAAAACACTGGTTTTGTGATTGGACAATATGACTAATGACGATGACTCACCTATTAGTTCAGCGATGGCGCTGAAGGGCCAGGTGTGGCTGGTGGAGTTTGTGTGGAGGAACTTGGGACATAGCTGTAAAGGGAGGAGCAGAGGAATAGAGTTACCCTATACAAATGCTGCCGACATAAAATTGGATTTTTTTTTTTTTTAGCATATTACCTCCTCCTAGATTATGTTAGGCCTACTATTGTCCTTATCATGACTCCAACTACATTGCATTACATTGGGTCATTCCACGGTCCTATATGCCGTCAGACGCAAAAACCCAGACACTCAGACGCTGCCCAAACGCTCTGTCTAAAACGCTTGCGATACGGTTTTGGAAACATTTGGAACTTAAGTTTCATACACAACAATTTTTCAAATACAAACGATACACTGGCAATATTTGTGGCCAATCTTTGTGTACAAAAATCTATAAATCAAAGACAATCATGGTACCAATAATTGCTTCTATTACACCAGATGTATGTCCTTGAACCAATTATTTTAAAATCGCACACTGAATACGTTATAAGGATAATTTAGTTGCTAATGGCAGCCTGCAGAACCCCGGTCGGCCTTCAATTTGAAGGGGCAACACTGAGCTAGCCTGCAACGTCACTTCCTGGAGTAGCTCAACAACTGCCTCCCACGAAGCATCGTTACCTATCGCTCCACAAAAGCCTTGCAGAGGAAGGGAAACAACTACTTCAAGGTCTCAGAGCGAGTGACATCACCGATTGAAATGCTACTAGCGTGCACCGCTAACTAGCTAGCCGTTTCACACCGGTTACACTCACCCCCCCATTGACCTCCTAGTTCTCCACAGCAACCAGTGATCCGGGTCAACAGCATCAATGTAACAGCATCAATGTAACAGTCTTGCTTCCGTCCCTCTCCTCGCCCCAACCTGGGTTCGGACCACGGACCCTCTGAACACGTCAACAACTGCCTCCCACAAAACATTTTTACATTTTAGTCATTTAGCAGACGCTCTTATCCAGAGCGACTTACAGTTAGTGAGTAACATTCTGTTTTTAATTTTTCATACCCCCCGTGGGAATAGAACCCACAACCCTGGCGTTGGAAACGCCATGCTCTACGAACTGAGCTACATCCCTGCCAGCCATTCCCTCCCCTACCCTGGACGACGCTGGGCCAATTGTGCGCCGCCCCATGGGTCTCCCGGTCGCGGCCGGCTACGACAGAGCCTGGATTCGAACCAGGATCTCTAGTGGCACAGCCACTGCGCCACTCGGGAGGACATCATTACCCATCGCTCCACAAAAGCAGTGGCCCTTGCAGAGTAAGGGTAAACAACTACTTCATGGTCTCAGGGTGAGTGACGTCACTGATTGAAATGCTACTAGCGCGCACCGCTAACTAGCTAGGAATTTCACACTGGTTACAATTAGACATTGCATGCATCAAACAATGGTTGTGTGCCACATCATAGACTGTGCCGTCGGGCACCAGATTGCTATAACATATAATGTGGTTAGCTGACACACAAAATACCTATCCTGGCATTGTTAAGATCTGGCATGCGTCAGCAACACCTGGGCAGAGGAACGCGGTCTATGTTTCCACGAGATGACATCTTTACCGACTTCCTTGGCTTCAAATGCATTCAAAGATGGTGGATAAATGAAGATGTCTTACACAGGCCGTTTACCATTGGAAAAAAATGGTCACAGTTCAGGTCTACTTAAAGGGATACTTCGGGATTTATGCAATTAAGCTGTTTTTTCTACTTACCCAAAGTCAGACAAACTCAACGATACCATTTGTATGTCTCGGTGTGTAGTTTGAAGTTGAAGGTAGCATATCGTTAGCTTAGCGCAATTGCTGTAAGTCTCCAGGAACTACTAGCTAGCTCCTCTCAAGCAGGGAAATAGACCTAACTACTCCAAAGCTGGGTGGTTGATCCATCGTTCAGAAACATACATCTCTTTTCCATAAAATATGTTTGAATTTTCAATCTAGTTTTCATTGGGAAAACAGATAAAGCGTTTTTATCAAAAACAATCACTTTTGCATGTGAAAAATACTGAATCCTACTCATTACTCCACGTGCTTAACCTACGTCACTTTTGTTTTGAGCTGATTTCGCCGTCAGCCAGAACGGCGCAGCCGGCTCATGTCCTGGACTCCAGCCTGGTTCCAAAATGAATGCAATCACTTTTCACCTGGTGCAAAATATGCCTACCCGGCCAGATGAATAGAATCCCCTGTATTTAACCCGTTCATTGGCCTACATGCATTTATCTCAATTGAATCTGGTCTAGTTATAGCGTAACAGAACAAAGTTTGTCACCCATTTGCTAGTACAACAGAAAAGTAATTGTGTGTAAAGTTTTAATGGGTGCATAATAAACAAAAATTGGGAGAAAGTTGAAGGTGGTGATGAACCCACTTGCAGTCTGAGTCCTCACATAGGAATGAAGGGTGTCAAGTGATCGATGGCTTTGTCCACTCAGTCATTGGTTTTAGGCAATCTGGCAATAGGGTCTGGCTCCAGCAGATACCTTCTCAGGACACAGACTGTGAGACATACCAGCTCAGATAGGTCTAATGATGCCAGAAAGTATGGTGTGTTACTGCCACCAACCCGCATGGGTGGTGAAATTACATTTAGAATTAGAAGCTAGGTACTAGCTAGTGTGTACTAGCTAGCTAGCTAGCTAGCTAGCTAGCTAGTGTTGTAGGCCTACTAGCTAACTAGTGTGTACTAGCTAGCTAAGTAGTGTGTACTAGCTAGCTAAGTATTGTGTACTAGCTAGCTAAGTATTGTGTACTAGCTAGCTGCACAAGCAACAGTGGTTAGCATAATGCCCTGGACCAGAGCTAGTGCGCCGACTGGTAGCACACTGACACCCTGGAACAAAGCTACTGACTCACGCAATACACGTGACCAACAAACGTCTACAGGTTGCGTGTGCACATACCATCTGAGACGCACCTGCATGCGCATTGAGGTTTGCAGACCAAGCAATCTGGAGGTTTGACACTATCTGGGCAAGCGGCAAAGCTGTAAATCCCACCTATTTCTACAATTTATCTTCTTCAAATCAGATTTTAAACCTAACCACACTACTAACATTTACCTTGAATTAAGACGAAAAAGGAAAATGTTGTATTCATACATTTTTACAATATATCAAATTTTGACTTTGCCGCTGGACCGTCTAGTGGGAACCAATCTGGCGCTTTAATTTTAACACAATTGAATCCCCCAGATTTCCAAAGCATCTCTAGACCAATGATTTATATATACACTAGATGACTGACGGGGCAAAAATAATAGTGTGTAGTTTCAGTAGTTAGCTACACCACTACATGGCAAAAAAGTCATTAACTACTGAAAACACTTGATTTGAATTTAGGTCAACTACCACAAGCTACTGCAAAATGTTCTTAAATTACTAATTAAAACACTGCACTATCAATCTAGCTAACATTAACGGCAATCAACATTCCAAACAGGCAGTGGTGGAAAAAGTACCCAATTGTCATACTTGAGTAAAAGTAAAGATACCTTAATATAAAATGACTCAAGTAAAAGAGAAAGTCACTCAGTAAAATACTACTTGAGTAAAATTCTAAAAGTATTTGGTTTTAAATATACTTAAGTATCAAAAGTCAATGTAATTGATATATACCTAAGTATCAAAAGTAAACGTAAAAGTATAAATAATTTCAAATTCCTTATATTAAGCAAGCCAGGCGGCACCATTTTCTTGTTTTTTTTTAAATGTTTAGATAGCCAGGGGCACATTCCAACACTTAGACATAATTTACAAATGAAGCATTTGTGTTTAGTGAGTCTGCCAGATCAGATGCAGTAGATGACCAGGGATGTTCTCTTGATAAGTGTGTAAATTGGGCCATTTTCCTGTCCTGCTAAGCATTCAAAATGTATCGAGTACTTTTGGGTGTCAGGGAAAAATGTATGAAGTAAGTACATTATTTTCTTAAGGAATGTAGTGAAATAAAAGTTGTCAAAAATATAAATAGTAATGTACAGATACAAAAACTTAAGTGAAGTATTTTTACTTAAGTACTTTACACCACTACAAACAGGGACGTCAAACGTTCAGCCTGCTGCACAGACCCTATGGATGCTCTAGTCTAGAGTGCCTGGTTAAATTGTGTAAAGAGCATTTTTTTACTCTCTCCATGGTTAAAGTAGTAATAAATATATGTAATTGTTGAAATAATGTGTGAGTGTGCTACATTTACTATCATCATATATTTAAATATTGAATTAATTTAACATTTAATTATGTTGTATGTGGTCCTCTGTAGCTCAGCTGGTAGAGCACGGCGCCTGTAACGCCAAGGTAGTGGGTTCGATCCCCGGGACCACCCATACACGAAAAATGTATGCACGCATGACTGTAAGTCGCTTTGGATAAAAGCGTCTGCTAAATGGCATATTATTATTTGTATTACGCTCATTTCCCTATAGTGGACAGAACGTGTTACTACATTACACAGACTAACGTTTTCACCACACACGAATTAAAGGAAATACACATCCCCTTTACCTCAGATTGGTGATGTTGTTAGTATTAATGATTATAGTCATCACGATCTCACAAAATCGATTGCTTAAAAAATATATTTGTCATATGAGCCAGTCCGAAGTGGGACAAACGGTGCTTTCAGGACAACTGGGAACTCAGAAAGAAACGAGGTCGAATCATGATGTCAGTGATCTTCAGGTGGGAAAGACGGAGCTCTAGAAAGAGGCCCGTGTTTCCGACTTGGAATTCCGAGTTGGATGACCGTTCAAAACTAATTTTCCCAGTCGGAGCTCGTTTTTTTCCCTCCGAGTTCCCAGTTGTTTTGAACGCACTGAAGTCGAAGATTTCCCAGTTCAGAGTTCCCAGTTGTTTTGAATGCGGCATTAGAACGTAGCTGTCATTTTCAGACCACTGTCGCTAGAAAAAAATCGGGCGCTCCTCCCTTAAAAAGTTCCTTGCCTCACATGAACCCATGGATTTGAGGGTTAAACTATCGTTGAAATAAAAGCCAACCCCTGTCGCTATCTATAAAGCTATATGAGGTGGTGATTCGTTTAAATTATCCAGTCAAAAACGTGTTGTTCCTGGCCATCTATCGAAATAATGTTCTAAGAGAGATATAAATTGATACATGGCTACGACAGGTTGTCATCTATTGACAGACAAACGTAGTAGCCTATACCCAAGTTCATTGAAGTTTGTCTGTTAGAAGCGTGCAAACCGTACATGTCGCAGGGGTTTTGCCCCAGTTCCATTGACTTCAACACAATATCAATGTGACCGATTTATTTGCCCGCGCTATCAATTCCAGTCTTGAGTGACCGCTTGGTAAGTTAAATATTACTGCGTGTGCAGTTTAGAAGGTAGGCTACTAATTTAACAAAATACAAATAATCTGAACACAAGTGTGAGACGTGTGTGTAGGCAGTAACTTTTATGTATTCCTCTTCAAAATATCACAATTTATTTCAGCATATTGATGATTAATTTGCACATCTAAAACCGGTGCTTGGACACTAGGCCATAAATCAAAAAGCCATGGAAGCAGCAACAGTATCATTTTCAATTAATGTTTTAGGAATATAAATGGTATTTAAAAAAATTTCAACAGGACTTCACTTTATCAGGTCAAAACTACTGATTGAGCCCTAAAAACTTGCTATGATTTCGATGATTAGTGAAATCACCATACTTATAAGTAAAAAATAAAATCAGAAGCAACTGCATATCAATTTACTTCTACATAGCTACAATGTCAACAGGCTGTAACGTTACCTAGATACTGTAAGTAAAAAATCATGTTACGCCTACCTTACTTGTAGGTACTCCTCTCTGCGACGCCATCTTCTCCGAAATGCAGAAGAGTCGTCGCCAACGTGCACAAGCCTAGCGCGAGGGCACCACCCAGCTAGGCGGAGCGGGTGTGTCGAAGAATAATGCTGCGTTCATAACCAAGTGGCAAGGTGGTAATTACCAGTTGAATGCATTCACGTGCTTTGAACGCGTTGAAAAATGCCGATTGGCTAATGGTGAACAAGCTCCATCAACTAAAAGTAAAGCTATCATGCTCGTAAACAAATTAGTGTTCAGGAACCATATTAATAGATTGCTTTTTATAACGTTTTGTTCTATTTAACTGCCGAAAATGCTATTATCGAGGTAATTTCTTTAGTAGGTGATGTCAGAGGTCAGCATGTGGGACAAGTCAGGGGTGCATTCAGCTCGATTGAACATTTGCTACGTTGCGGAACGGTTTGTACTGAGGTCAGCATGTGGGACAAGTCAGGGGTGCATTCAGCTCGATTGAACATTTGCTACGTTGCGGAACGGTTTGTACTGAACTACACGTTTCCCCAAAACGTTCTGGATGAGACTTTGAGGAACGTTTGCGCCGTTTGGTGGGTGTAGCGGGGTGAATCAAATTGAACACATTGTTGGTGTGTTGAAGAATAACTTAATGTATCTGTTTATTCATGAACCAATTGATATTAATTTAAAAGAGAGACACTGGCATTGACCCAGAACACAAACGCCTGCCTCCCTAGATAAACAGTTATAAAACCTGCATACATATGCTATTGACTCTTAGGGTTAGGTTGTTTTTATTTACAGAACATTATATTAATTCTGATATTAACAAGTAATCATTTTCAGGAGATCAAACATTCATATAATTTAGTTAAGCATTCACATTTGAAGAATAAAACTATGATGAGTGGTAATGGTGCATTCATGACAAGTCGGAAACCGAACATCTGAGTTAATTTACATTTATTTGCGTAGAGCTTCCTATTGGTTGATTCTAGAAACTTGGGCCTCATCATTCTACAACCAGTTTCCAAGTCAAATTTCGGAGATTCCGAGTTGCTTTGAAAGCACCATAAGTCCAAACATTCCCCAAAACACCTAATATAGACAGAATTTGAAGACTTCTAATGAAAAAATACCAAAATGACACACGTTATTTAACTTATATTAGACATCTAGAGGTTTTGCCGTGTACACAAAAAACAAATAATTTACCCACAAATAAAACTGTGACATCATGATTGATGACAAGCAGAGCTTTTTAAACATAAAAAAATCAACCATCCTCTACTAAGGGCCTTAGAGGTCCCATAGTCACTGACCAGCAGGTATACTCACCTATTCCTGTCTCATTGGAATACATTACATTCTGACAGTCAGACAGACAAAATATGCTAATAGGAGGGAGCAGGTTTATGGAGAGCTTTGTAGAGCAATGGAATGGAATTAGTAGTCAGTACTGCTGTCCCTCTCTTTCTTACAGTGGTGCCTATTTTATGACCAGTGGCACCTCTAAAAGCTAGCTAGTATCAGTACTACTCTTATTTTAAGTCAGCACATTCAGACTTGTACTCAGAGAGAGCCCAATAACTGCCATTCTGTTCCAGTTTGGGTCAGTTAATTCTACATTATTTTAGAGTATCTCAAATGTAGAATATCCTATATAGACATGGAGTGTTAAATCTCAACCAGGTAAGGTAAACAATTCAACATTCAAAAGAACATCCCAAAAGATGACAATTTAGCTGGCATTTGCCTACAATACAACATTGCTTTCAGTGGTTGTGCCCATTCTACACACTCCATTTCTATGGTTCCAGTTCTAATTTCCTCTGCATTCTAAGAACTAGAACCTTAGTGGAGTTCTAACTGTCCATGGAGTCTAGGAACTCTCCCTCAGTGATGTGCTCCAGTCTCTTCAGGACTTGGTCGGCACTGGCTGCAGGGTAGTCTGTCACGGGGTAGTCTGCAGGGCTGCTGGGTGAAGTGCCCTGGAAGGAACAGCAGAGTGTATGGAGGAAGGGAACAAGCTGGGTGATTGAGGTGAGAAAGCGACGGGTGAGGAGGGGGAATTTCAGACGCTCCGTAGACGACTCCTCGCTCAGCGTCTGGAATGAAAAGACATGAGCTCATCAGAAAGGGACGATGGGACCGCATGATTGAGTCAGGTCGTTATCATGGTTAATATATGGACATGTGTTCTCTTCCTCCATAGCGGTGTGTGTGTTCAAATCAAATCCAATTTCATTTGTCACATGCACTGAATACAACAGGTGTAGACTTAACCATGAAATGTTTGCTTACAAACCCTTCCCAATGATGCATAGTTAAGAAATAATAATAGAGTCCAATGGTGGCGAGCTTTACACCACTCCAGCCGACGCTTGGCATTGCGCATGGTGATCTTAGGCTTGTGTGCGGCTGCTCTGCCATGGAAACCCATTTCATGAAGCTCCCGACGAACAGTTCTTGTGCTGACGTTGCTTCCAGAGGCAGTTTGGAATTTGGTAGTCAGTGTTGCAACCGAGACAGCCGTCCCGTTCTGTGAGCTTGTGTAGCCTACCACTTCGTGGCTGAGCCATCGTTGCTCCTAGATGTTTCCACTTCACAATAACAGCACTTAGAGTTGACCGGGGCAGCTATAGCAGGGCAGAAATCTGACGAACTGACTTGTTGGAAAGGTGGCATCCTATGACGGTGCCACGTTGAAAGTCACTGAGCTCTTCAGTAAGGCCATTCTACTGCCATTGTTTGTCTATGGAGATTGCATGCCGGTGTACTCGATTTTATACACCTATCAGCAACCGGTGTGACTGAAATAGCCAAATCCACAAAGTTGAAGGGGTGTCCACATACTTTTGTATATATACTGTATTTGAGGTAGATACTGTATGTACATAAAGGCATGGTAAAGTGACTAGGCATCAGGATAGATAATAGGAGTCAAATAAAGAACAGAGTAGCAGCAGCATATGATGAGTGTAAAAGTGTGTGCGTGTGTATGTGTGTTTGTGTTGTGTCGGTATGCGTGTGTGTGTTATGTATGTAGTGTACATATGTGAATGTGTGTGAATTTTGTGTGTCAGTGTGAGTGTGCATAGAGTCAGTGCAAGATAGGGTGTTCTCTTACCCCGTAACGTTGGTGTAGTGCCTCTAGTATTTTGACAATATGGGGTTTGCACTCCTGCTCTCCCTCCAGGAGACTATTCTCTGGGCCATTGTAGCGACTCATATCCACTTCTGGAACAAAGGCCCAGCGATACCTGGACACACACACACACACACACACGAGCAGAGAGAATGGAATGGAATTGTAATCATTCTATGCACACCCTATATAGATGCTAAGCAGATATTAAGCCGGTGAGGTTCTTACATCTGAAAGAGGGGCATCTTCTCTGGGGGGAAGGCCAGGGCGGTGTCCAGGAACTTGCAGGCAGACAGGTACATGTCCAACTCTGGCTGGGGGAAAGCCAATGGCCCATTCCCCATGGCCCCACGTACAACTTTAGTCAACCTGACAGAGAAAGACAGATAGGAGAACAGAGAAAAAGCATGAGACAACACAATAAGTCTGAATGAAACATAGTCAAGATATTCACATGAGATACTGCCTGATACATTGACATTATACATGTAGATAAAATAATGGATGGTTAGACTGACTCACTTTGACACTTCTTTTTCTTCCAACAAGGCTTTCTCCAGCCGAACAAATATTCGGATCTGACAAACAGAGAGAAGATACACACCATTAGAAGACAGGACTGGACAAACACTAACAAACACTGTTTCTTTTTACATGCCACCTCAACCCTGCTGAAAACAATGCATGTATGTCAAAAAATCAACAGTGACAGGAAGTGATGTCATCAGGGTGGGGGTTGTTCCTCACCAGTTCTGTGACCATGATTGGCCAGAGGGAGGTGAGGTGCTGGGGGGAGATCCGCAGCACAAGAACACGGAACGTCAGAAATATCTGAGCAGAGACGGAGGGCGTCTGACCCATACGCAGAGCCTCTGTCAGCCGCTCTGAGGGAGGATGGGAGGAGACATCATCATTACATTTAGGGATGGGTACGGTTATTCGAATATTCAAATATTTGAACGGACATTAGTATTCGATTACTTAGGAGAGTATTCATTTCTTTAAATAGGCGTTGTTAAAAAAAAAAAAAAAGGCTTTGTCTGAAATGAAATAAATCAGTGGAGGCTCCTCAGAGGAGGAAGGGGAGGACCATCCTCCTCAGTGAATTTCATAAAAGAAAAATGGTGAAACATTAAAAAAGTTATCCTTTTTAGATAAAATTATTGACGTCACCAAATAATTGATTAAAATACACTGTTTTGCAATGAAGGTCTACAGTAGCCTCAACAGCACTCTGTAGGGTAGCACCATGGTTTAGCCGGAGGACAGCTAGCTTCCGTCCTCCTCTGGGTATATTGACTTTAATACAAAACCTAGGAGGCTCATGGTTCTCACCCCCTTTCATAGACTTACACAGTAATTATGACAACTTCCGGAGGACATCCTCCAACCTATCAGAGCTCTTGCAGCATGAACTGACATGTTGTCCACCCAATCAAAATGTCATTTTTAAAAAAATCACTTTCAGTTTCACTTACTTAGCTACCAAATGCAGATAGCTAGTTTAGCCTACTCAAACACCCTGCTCAAACAGAGCTAGCTGGCTATGACTATCCAACACAACACTGGAACTCTTCCAAGTCAAGGTAAACTTTTGGTTTGACTAATTTATTGCCACCGGGGCCCGCTGGTGTAAGTGCTGACTGTACACCATAACGTTACTGCATGATTGTATCGGGTTTACTAACGCATTAGTTCTATTTGCTACAGTATGTTGACTATGACGTTACTTTAGCTAATATGGTGACAACGATGTAGACTGTGTAGCAGTTCTGAAATGGTTTGGCTTGGAACGTTTTTGTTGCCTGGTCACATACAGCTGATGTGTTGTGCATTGAAGTCCACAAGCGAAGGGAAAAGGTGAGAGGAGGCAAGCGCATAGATGCGAGAAGGAATACAACGTGGCTGCTATGAAAGTGAACTGTGTTTACGCGTGATCAGGGGTGTATTCATTCTGCCGATTCTGTTGAAAAACGTTTCTTAAACGTTCTTAAAAGTCCCCTGTAGCTCAGTTGGTAGAGCATGGCACTTGCAACGCCAGGGTTGTGGGTTCGTTTCCCACAGGGGGCCAGTATGAAAAATGTATGCACTCACTAACTGTAAGCCGCTCTGGATAAGAGCGTCTGCTAAATGACTAAAATGTAAATGTAAACGGAAGCAAACTGAACGAAACGGGGATAAACATACCTGAATTTGTCCAATAGAAACTCTTGCTGTTGGACTAATGATTACATTTTAGTCATTTAGCGGACGCTCTTATCCAGAGCGACTTACAGTTAGTGAGTACATACATTTTACACCCTAGATCAGCTAGATGCAGGCAAGAGTGTGCAAGGCAGTATTGAATGTGTCAATGTCAGCCTCAGATTTTTCTCTCGACCTGTGTGCGCCTACGTTGTAAACTTTCATTCATATGCTAGGTTGTAGCAACCTCATGATGGGTATAGGGAAAATGTAAGTATCATGTTGTAGCCTAAACCTATGGCTGTTACATTGAACTGGGTGAATGGAATATAAATGACAGTCATCCAATATGCTGTAATATAAATAAGACCATGCTCATCAAAAAAATTAAAATAATCCTCCCTCATCTTAAACGGCACTGACCGCCACTGAAATAAATGTATCTGTGACATTGCTACATAGCCTACAAGGATAGACCATTACATTTTACCGTTTTTAAGAGTGTGTCCCATAAAAAGGAAACATTGGACCGGGAGCGCAGAAAAATAGCCTCAATTAGCCTTGCTACATTAGCTAGCTAGATGGCTAACTTACACTACATGACCAAAAGTATGTGGACAACTGCTCGTCGAACATCTTATTCCAAAATCATGGGCATTAATATGGAGTTGGTCCCCCCTTTGCTGCTATAACAACCTCCACTCTTCGGGGAAGGCTTTCCACTAGATGTTGGAACATTGCTGCAGGGACTTTCTACCATTCAGCCACAAGAGCATTAGTGAGGTCGGCACTGATGTTGGGCGATTAGGCCTGGCTCGCAGTCGGTGTTCCAATTCATCCCAAAGGTGTTAGATTGGGTGGAGGTCAGGGCTCTGTGCAGGCCAGTCAAGTTCTTCCGCACCGATCTCGACAAACCATTTCTGTATGGACCGTGGTTTGTGCATGGGGGCATTGTCATGCTGAAACAGGAAAGGGCCTTCCACAAAGTTGGAAGCACAGAATCGTCTAGAATGTCATTGTATGCTGTAGCGTTAAGATTTCCCTTCACTGGAACTAAGGGGCCTAGCCCGAACCATGAAAAACAGCCCCAGACCATTATTCCTCCTCCACCAAACTTTATAGTTGGCACTATGCATTGGGGCAGGTAGCGCTCTCCTGGCATCCTCCAAACCCAGATTCGTCCATCGGTCTGCCAGATGGTAAAGCGTGATTCATCATTCCAGAGAACACGTTTCCACTGCTCCAGAGTCCAATGGCGGCGAGCTTTACACCACTCCAGCCGACGCTTGGCATTGCGCATGGTGATCTTAGGCTTGTGTGCGGCTGCTCGGCCATGGAAACGCATTTAATGAAGCTCCCGACGAACAGTTATTGTGCTGACGTTGCTTCCAGAGCCAGTTTGGAACTCGGTAGTGAGTGTTGCAACCGAGGCCAGACTATTTTTACACGCTTCAGGGGTCCCGTTTTGTGAGTTTGTGTGGCCTACCACTTAGCGGCTTAGCCGTTGTTGCTCCTAGACGTTTCCACTTCACAATAACAGCACTTACAGTTGACCGGGGCAGCTCTAGCAGGGCAGAAATTTGACGAACTGATTTGTTGGAAAGGTGGCATCCTATGATGGTGCCACGTTGAAGGTCACTGAGCCATTCAGTAAAGCCATTCTACTGCCAATGTTTGTCTATGGAGATTGCATGGCTGTGTGCTCAATTTGATACACCTGTCAGCAACGGGTGTGGCTGAAATAGACAAATCAATTAATTTGAAGGGGTGTCCACATACATTTGTATATATAGTGTAGCTGGCTACTGTACCTAGCTTCTTTACAACAATTTGATGCAGTCAAAACAGGCACTACCAGATGGTATGATAGATAACCTATGGCAGCAACAAGTTTGTCTAACTAGCGCAAGTCTGTTTGGGACACACATACGCACAGAGGTTTCACTCTCGCCAAAACCTGTCCAAAATAAGCCCAATGCTTTTCTATGGGCTTATTTTGGACCTAAGCTTGTCGCCCGCCTTTGGGATAATGAGCATGAGCATCTCGTCATTACATACAGATCTCTGCTGTCACACACACCGGCCCCTGCTCCCTTCTCGCCCCTCCCACACCCTTCTGCTGAAACAAGCAGAGCACAGCGCACCGGCTCTATCGAGTCGCACGAGCAAGTCTCCATTGATTTATTTTTATTTTTGTAAAGTTAACAAAATTGTACATGTATTTCGACTATCCGGAAATCCCAAAAAATATAATGATATTATTAGAATACTGAAATAATTTAAAATGCCCATCCCTAATTACATTATACTGTAAATGAAGGATTCATATTGGCCTCATAAAATATCACACACACACTCACATTCTCTATCACATGTCATTGTCTACACACTCAGACACACAGCAGCAATGTTCATGCAAAGCATTCAGTCACACACACAAATAAATAAATACACAGAAACACAAGAAGCACACCCACCTTGGATGAGGGGCAGGTACAGATGGTACTGGTCTAACTCTCCACTGAACATGGCAAAGGCCTGACGCTTCAGTAACATGGGCTTCTGCTCTGCACTGGGAAACAGCTTCAGAGAACTGCTCTGCATGCCTGCAATACACACACAGGGTTAACACACACACGAACGAACACACACACGCACGAACACACACACAAACAGGGTTGGGTGGCTCTACTTACTCATGAGGTCTTTGAACATGGTCTTCTCATGGGTCAGCAGGTGGTCGATGATGGACCTCCAGCTATAGAAAACAGAGGTCAGGAGGTCAAACAGTCATTTTCTTTTGACATGTTATCTGATGATAATGTCAATATTTACATGTAATGTACAGCCACACACACACACAAACACAATCTTACTGTGGGGTGCAGGAGACGTCCATGGTGAAGAAGAGGGGGTCCATGTAGAGTTCAAAGGCCTCTTTCCTCCAGGCCCTCTTGGTGTAGGCGTACCCACTCAGATTGCTCAGAAGCTGGGCACCCGCACCGAAACTGGGCATGTTGTAGGCACTGTGGTTCTTCAGGTAGGGGAAGACGTAGTACATGAGGCGAGAGATGAGAGGGACGGCTTTCTCCTTCTCATCACTGCGATACACCATGTCCAGGAGAGGGGCTAGAACCTGCAGAGGAAGAGGGTCTGTCATATACAGAAACACATACAGTGGGGAAAAAAAGTATTTAGTCAGCCACCAATTGTGCAAGTTCTCCCACTTAAAAAGATGAGAGAGGCCTGTAATTTTCATCATAGGTACACGTCAACTATGACAGACAAAATGAGAAAGAAAAATCCAGAAAATCACATTGTAGGATTTTTTCTGAATTTTTTTGCAAATTATGGTGGAAAATAAGTATTTGGTCAATAACAAAAGTTTCTCAATACTTTGTTATATACCCTTTGTTGGCAATGACACAGGTCAAACGTTTTCTGTAAGTCTTCACAAGGTTTTCACACACTGTTGCTGGTATTTTGGCCCATTCCTCCATGCAGATCTCCTCTAGAGCAGTGATGTTTTGGGGCTGTCGCTGGGCAACACAGACTTTCAACTCCCTCCAAAGATTTTCTATGGGGTTGAGATCTGGAGACTGGCTAGGCCACTCCAGGACCTTGAAATGCTTCTTACGAAGCCACTCCTTCGTTGCCCGGGCGGTGTGTTTGGGATCATTGTCATGCTGAAAGACCCAGCCACGTTTCATCTTCAATGCCCTTGCTGATGGAAGGAGGTTTTCACTCAAAATCTCACGATACATGGCCCCATTCATTCTTTCCTTTACACGGATCAGTCGTCCTGGTCCCTTTGCAGAAAAACAGCCCCAAAGCATGATGTTTCCACCCCCATGCTTCACAGTAGGTATGGTGTTCTTTGGATGCAACTCAGCATTCTTTGTCCTCCAAACACGACGAGTTGAGTTTTTACCAAAAAGTTCTATTTTGGTTTCATCTGACCATATGACATTCTCCCAATCTTCTTCTGGATCATCCAAATGCACTCTAGCAAACTTCAGACGGGCCTGGACATGTACTGGCTTAAGCAGGGGGACACGTCTAGCACTGCAGGATTTGAGTCCCTGGCGGCGTAGTGTGTTACTGATGGTAGGCTTTGTTACTTTGGTCCCAGCTCTCTGCAGGTCATTCACTAGATCCCCCCGTGTGGTTCTGGGATTTTTGCTCACCGTTCTTGTGATCATTTTGACCCCACAGGGTGAGATCTTGCATGGAGCCCCAGATCGAGGGAGATTATCAGTGGTCTTGTATGTCTTCCATTTCCTAATAATTGCTCCCACAGTTGATTTCTTAAAACCAAGCTGCTTACCTATTGCAGATTCAGTCTTCCCAGCCTGGTGCAGGTCTACAATTTTGTTTCTGGTGTCCTTTGACAGCTCTTTGGTCTTGGCCATAGTGGAGTTTGGAGTGTGACTGTTTGAGGTTGTGGACAGGTGTCTTTTATACTGATAACAAGTTCAAACAGGTGCCATTAATACAGGTAACGAGTGGAGGACAGAGGAGCCTCTTAAAGAAGAAGTTACAGGTCTGTGAGAGCCAGAAATCTTGCTTGTTTGTAGGTGACCAAATACTTATTTTCCACCATAATTTGCAAATAAATTCATAAAAAATGCTACAATGTGATTTTCTGGATTTTTTTTTCTCAATTTGTCTGTCATAGTTGACGTGTACCTATGATGAAAATTACAGGCCTCTCTCATCTTTTTAAGTGGGAGAACTTGCACAATTGGTGGCTGACTAAATACTTTTTTCCCCCACTGTACATAGGTGTGAAAACCATAGTTGCACACATTCGCACACGAACACACTTACCTCTGCCAATAGCGCTAGGGCTTGCACACTGTATACAGAGGGAGCTGAGGAAGAGACCATGGTGCTGGCCTGAGCTACAGAGTCTGGAGAAGAGAAGAAAGTTGAGGAGAAAGAAGGAGACGGGGACAGAAGTGAGTTGTTACTCATAAATATGTATGACTTAATTCTATAGTGCTTGCCCTGAGGGCCAACCCAAGACTTAACCTCCTCAGGGTAGCAGGAAGGAACTCTATCTCATCCTTCAGACCACATCCTGAGTCTAACCATGAAGTACTGCTGCCAGTGAAGCTGCAGGGCTCCTACATCACTGCAGGAACCAGTCTGGTTGCCATGGTAACAGCAGAGGAGAGAAGCACTTCTTCCAATGCACTTTTGGGGGAAGTGTCCTTCTTCCTCACTGGACCACTACACTGGGGAACTAAGAGGGGAAGTGCGGTGTTTCCATGGTTACATTATAGGTCTGTGGACACTCTCAGTCCACTCTAATGTAGACCTGAAGAGAGATGAGGAGAGAATCAAGAGGAAAGGAGACTGTTGGTTGAGGTGGGCCCTCTGGCTTTTCTCAGCCAATAATGTGGAACGTGCTTAAGGGGGTCAGGGGTTGGTTACCAAGGAGAGTCATGCCCTGAGGGTTTAGGATGTTAGCAGCTCTGAGCCTGTTTGAAGCCTAATTGACACCTTCTGCTTCGATCGAATGTCAATTGAATGTCCGCTCCAGTCCGCACCTTCTTGGAAAAGTGTCCTGGAAAAGTGTGGATATATAGGGACAGGAGTGGACATTCGATATTGCATCATTTCTTTAGAGCGGACCTACCAGACCGCAAGGTGTAAACTAGGCTTTAGTCTGTTCCTGATAGAAACCAGGGATGTCTCCAGGTGAGTGTGTGTGTGTGGTATCCATGGTTACCGTAGAGGTCCAGGTCCAGCTCGTCGGATGGCTCCTCTGTCTCAGGACACACCTGGGGCTGGTTCTTGACCTCCAGGTTACGGCTGAGCCAGCTGGTCTGCTCCAGAGACGACCCCGCTACCCCGCCCACAGCCTCCAGGATCTTCTGGGTCACCTCCTACATAGTATCACCATCATCATGTATCTCACACTGTACCCTCTCAAACTCACACTAAAGCCTAATTTACACCTTTCGCTTCAATCAAACGTCCGCTCCCTTTCGCACAGGTCCGCAGAGCGGGGTTTCTGAGTCCGTGCGGACAGACCTAGCGGATGGTGTGGAAGAGAAAGGTGCAAATTAGGCTTAAGCCAGGATTGTGATACTGTGCTCCATGTCTTACCTGCATGTCCCTGGTGTCCTTCTTATTGTCCAGGTTGGGGAGCCGGTTTACAAAGTCATTGAGGATCCTGTGGTAGGAGAGAATTAAAATAACAGTACAATTCTGGATTGGTAGACCAGAGTGCAATAATATCTTGTTAATTCTGATAACAGTATCAAACCAAAGCATATCTATGATATGTGTGTTCTACTTATGTTTGGAAATAACATATAGGAGAAACATTGTTTCAAACAGAGAGTGATATGCTGGGAACAATATCTATAGTAATAAATCTGTATGACCGGAGATTAATGACTGATAACCAGTGGTGTAAAGTAAAAATACTTTTAAGTACTACTTAAGTAGTTTGTATTGGTATCTGTACTTTACTATTTATATTTTTGACAACTTTTACTTCACAACATTCCTAAAGAAAATAATGTACTTTTTACATTTTCCCCGACACTCAAAAGTACTCGTTACATTTTGAATGCTTAGCAGGACAGGAAAATGGTCCAATTCACGCATGTATCAAGAGAACATCCCTGGTCATCCCTACTGCCTCTGATCTGGCGGACTCACTAAACACACATACTTTGTTTGTAAATTATGTCTGAGTGTTGGAGTGTGCCCCTGGCTATCTGTAAAAAAAAAAATACAAGAAAATAGTGCCGTCTGGTTTGCTTAATATAAGGAATTTGAAATGATTTATACTTTAACTTTTGATACTTAAGTATATTTTAGCAATTACTTTTCCTTTTGATTCTTAAGTATATTTTAGCAATTACATTGACTTTTGATACTTAAGTATATTTCAAACCAAATACTTTTAGACTTTTACTCAAGTAGTATTTTACTGGGTGACTTTCACTTTTACTTGAGTCATTTTCTATGAAGGTATCTTTACTTTTACTCAAGTGTGACAATTGGGTACTTTATCCACCACTGCTGATAACGGTTTATAGACATTGGACATCAAATGACAGTAGATATGTCAGACAGACAGGAAGTTGCTGACTCACCCCAGCAGCAGGAAGTGTCCGGGCGGGGCCAGGTTGAGCTGCACAGACTCTCTGAGAAGAGTGAGGAGGGGCGCCACGTTCTCCTGGAGAGCCTGAGCCGGAATACTACCACACACAGAGAGAGGAGGAAGGTAAAACATTTTTAAATGCTATCACATCCACACCGAGAGAAGAGGTGAAATTTTTAAATGCTATCACCAGTGGGGAAAAAAGTATTTAGTCAGCACAATTGCAATTCTCCACTTAAAAGATGAGAGACTGTAATTTCATCTAGCACTATACAGACAAATGAGAACTACCAGAAAATCACATTGTAGGATTTTTAATGAATTTATTTGCAAATTATTGTGGAAATAAGTATTGGTCAATAACAAAAGTTTCTTAATACTTTGTTATATACCCTTTGTTGGCAATGACACAGGTCAAACGTTTTCTGTAAGTCTTCACAAGGTTTTCACACACTGTTGCTGGTATTTTGGCCCATTCCTCCATGCAGATCTCCTCTAGAGCAGTGATGTTTTGGGGCTGTCGCTGGGCAACACAGACTTTCAACTCCCTCCAAAGATTTTCTATGGGGTTGAGATCTGGAGACTGGCTAGGCCACTCCAGGACCTTGAAATGCTTCTTACGAAGCCACTCCTTCGTTGCCCGGGCGGTGTGTTTGGGATCATTGTCATGCTGAAAGACCCAGCCACGTTTCATCTTCAATGCCCTTGCTGATGGAAGGAGGTTTTCACTCAAAATCTCACGATACATGGCCCCATTCATTCTTTCCTTTACACGGATCAGTCGTCCTGGTCCCTTTGCAGAAAAACTGCCCCAAAGCATGATGTTTCCACCCCCATTCTTTGGATGCAACTCAGCATTCTTTGTCCTCCAAACACGACGAGTTGAGTTTTTACCAAAAAGTTCTATTTTGGTTTCATCTGACCATATGACATTCTCCCAATCCTCTTCTGGATCATCCAAATGCACTCTAGCAAACTTCAGACGGGCCTGGACATGTACTGGCTTAAGCAGGGGGACACGTCTGGCACTGCAGGATTTGAGTCCCTGGCGGCGTAGTGTGTTACTGATGGTAGGCTTTGTTACTTTGGTCCCAGCTCTCTGCAGGTCATTCACTAGGTCCCCCCGTGTGGTTCTGGGATTTTTGCTCACCGTTCTTGTGATCATTTTGACCCCACAGGGTGAGATCTTGCGTGGAGCCCCAGATCGAGGGAGATTATCAGTGGTTTTGTATGTCTTTCCATTTCCTAATAATTGCTCCCACAGTTGATTTCTTCAAACCAAGCTGCTTACCTATTGCAGATTCAGTCTTCCCAGCCTGGTGCAGGTCTACCATTTTGTTTCTGGTGTCCTTTGACAGCTCTTTGGTCTTGGCCATAGTGGAGTTTGAAGTGTGACTGTTTGAGGTTGTGGACAGGTGTCTTTTATACTGATAACAAGTTCAAACAGGTGTCATTAATACAGGTAACGAGTGGAGGACAGAGGAGCCTCTTAAAGAAGAAGCTACAGGTCTGTGAGAGCCAGAAATCTTGCTTGTTTGTAGGTGACCAAATACTTATTTTCCACCATAATTTGCAAATAAATTCATAAAAAATCCTACAATGTGATTTTCTGGAGAAAAAAAATCTCTATTTGTCTGTCATAGTTGACGTGTACCTATAATGAAAATCACAGGCCTCTCTCATCTTTTTAAGTGGGAGAACTTGCACAATTGGTGGCTGACTAAATACTTTTTTCCCCCACTGTATAAGCAAGAACTGAAGTGTATTACTAACTACATGACAGTGTGAATCTCTGTGTTGATGTTGTAGTTTGTTACCTCTGGATGTAGGCGTAGCTGAACTGTAGCATGGGGATGTCTACCAGGGTGGACTTCTGCCACACAGAGGAAGGAAACAAATGACCTTCAGAGTACCACCATACCACCATGTAATGTCTCTCTGGGTTAAACAGTCAAATATTTAGGTTTATGTGTGTGTACCTGGTCTCGTTTGATCTGGTGGGGTTTTTTCACCACCTCTTTGACCATCTGCAAGATATTGTCTGTGCGGAGCGTTTCCAGGGACTTCACCAGATCCACGATGGTCAGACGAGACTCACTGGCCACAGGTAAGATCTACAGAGAAAGATAGAGATTGAGATTGAGAGAGGGGTTACTTTGTGTGTCACCCTCTTGTTGTCATGTAAACAGTGGTGTTTGACTGAAGGTAGACTACAGTGCATTCAGAAAGTATTCAGACCCCTTGACTTTTTCCACATTTTGTTACGTTACAGCCTTATTCTAAAATGGATTAAATAGTTTTTTCCCCCCCCCTCATCAATCTACACACAATACCCAATAATGACAAAGCAAAAACAGGTTTCTAGACATTTTTGCAAATGTATTAAAAATTAAAAACAGAAATATCACATTTACAGAAGTATTTAGACCCTTTACTCAGTACTTGGTTGAAGCACCTTTGGCAGCGATTACAGCCTCAAGTCTTCTTGGGTATGACGCTACAAGCTTGGCACACCTCTCAAGCTCTGTCAGGTTGGATGGGGAGGGTCGCTGCACAGCTAATTTCAGTTCTTTCCAGAGATGTTCGATCTGGTTCAAGTCCGGGATCTGGCTGGGCCACTCAAAGACATTCAGAGACTTGTCCCGAAGCCACTCCTGCGTTGTCTTGGCTGTGTGCTTAGGGTCATTGTGTTATTGGAAGGTGAACCTTCACCCCAGTCTGAGGTCCTGAGCTCTCTGGAGCAGGTTTTCATCATGGACCTCTCTGTACTTTGCTCCGTTCATCTTTCCCTCGATCCTGACTAGTCTCCCAGTCCCTGCCGCTGAAAAACATCACCACAACATGATGCTGCCACCACCATGCTTCACCGTAGAGATGGTGCCAGATTTCCTCCAGATGTGATGCTTGGCATTCAGGCCAAAGAGTTCAATCTTGGTTTCATCAGACCAGAGAACCTTGTTTCTCATGGTCTGAAAGTGCCCTTTGGCAAACTCCAAGCGGGCTGTCATGTGCCTTTTACTGAGGAGTGGCTTCCGCCTGACCACTCTACCATAAAGGCCTGATTGGTGGAGTGCTGCAGAGATGGTTGTCCTTCTGGAAGGTTCTCCCATCTCCACAGAGGAACTCTGGAGCTCTGTCAGGTGACCATCAGGTTCTTAGTCAACTCCCTGACCAAGGCCCTTCTCCCCCGATTGCTCAGTTTGGCTGGGCGGCCAGCTCTAGGAAGAGTCTTGGTGGTTCCAAACTTCTTCCATTTAAGAATGATGGAGGCCACTGTGTTCTTGGGGACCTTCAATGCTGCAGACATGTTTTGGTACGCTTCCCCAGATCTGTGCCTCGACACAATCCTGTCTCGGAGCTCTACGGAAAATTCCTTCGACCTCATGGCTTGGTTTTTGCTCTGACATGCACTGTCAACTGTGGGATCTTATATAGACAGGTGTGTAAATAACGCATTTCTGTTTTTTAATACATTTGCAAACATTTCTAAAAACCTGTTTTACACTTTGTCATTATGGGGTATTGTGTGTAGATTGATGACGGAAAAAAATTATGTAATACATTTTAGAATAAGGCTTTAATTGTATTAATGCCCATGATTTTGGAATGAGATGTTCAACGAGCAGGTGTCCACATACATTTGGTAATGTAGTGTACTTGTGTGTGTGTGTTGCCTACAAGTCCCACCAAGCTTGTTGCAAAATATATATTTTTTTTTAAAGCACTCACTTTGTTTTTGGTGTGTCTCCTCTTGCTCCTCCGGCTGCTCCACACAACTCCCACTGATGCCATTAACTGCACCCCATACTGCCCCGTCAGAGGAGTCAGGAACTCCAACACTCGCTGCCTCAGGGTCTACACACACACACATAAACACACACACACACACACAATGAGCAGTACCGTAAGAGAGTGACACACAAATACACATGCAAAACATATCACAGCACTACTGTCCATAAGAACACACACATACATACAAACCTTGGAGCTCCTGAAGTAGACAGAAGTGGAGGTGTGTCTGGCGGTCTGGGCGTAGTCTGAGCCCCTACTTTGGGACTCCTCCCTCTTGACCACACCCCACAGCAGAGCCATGCTACTGAGCATGTGCGGCAGCTCCTCAATCACAGCGTTGCGGGCGTTCCGGACGTCTGCAGGGTCACAGGCCACCAGGGACTGAGAGGGAGGGATGGAAACATTTAAACGTTTTCTGCATTCAACTCTTTGTCCAAGTGTGTGGCACAGTGATCCACCTACATGTAGCCAAATCAGCAGACTGCATGGGTGTGTGTGACTCACCTTCTTGTTGTCCAGTAGACAGTGGTGAGTGAGTGTGGTCAGTCCCTCCAGTAGGGTGAGAGGATAATCAGGAGCGATGTTCTCCTTCCTGCCACTCAGACTCTGTGTAGCCTTCCCCCCGTCGTGATCGTACTGTTTGACCAGCTCGTCCAGGTTCCTGCAGATCTGAGTGATGAGCGGAGCCACGATGATGCCCAGCGAGCGCCCCAGGTAGGGCAGAGACGAGCAAAGCAGCGCCACCCAGTGGGGGTGCATGGCATAGCCGTACTGCGGCTGCAGAGCCCGGGCTGCAGCAGACACAAACATCCCCTGGGCTGTGATGGGCTGGGTCTTGACGTACTGAGCTGCCTTGATGGACTGTTGGAACAGAACCGCTGTCTGCCATTCCCGCGCTAGTGCTGAGGAGGCAGGGGTGGCTGCAGGGGTGTCACGGGGCTCATCGGGGTGCAAGGTCGAACCAGACCCCCCTGGCCACACGTGGTACTCCAGGACGATGAGGGCCTGTAGAAGCTTGAGCAGCTCCATCTGTAAGGGGTACTGCTCCTGTCCCCCTCCCCCTCCCAGATTCACCAGGCTCTCCTCAGACAGATCCACCTGTTCATCTAACAGATCTACACCCCCCATGGCAGAGCCCTTCTCCGTTCCTCTCTGGCTGATGTACATGGAGGCTGAGAGGGTGAGGAGGGCGTACTGCTGCACCTTACACCCGGCCAGCAGCTTGCAGATGGGCTCCGGGCTGACCCCAGCCTCACCCTGGGTGGAGGTGTCTCCCTGGCCCCGCACTACGATCCCCAGCTGGGTCACCAGGCGGGTCAGCACCCCCACGCTCTTCACCTGGACCTCCCTATTCCCCTGCAGCTCCCTGGGGTCCAGGGTGAGGTAGGACGGATAGTAGGAGCGCAGGAACCTCAGGCACAGGGACACCATCAGCTCGATGAGCAGGGAGAGGGGACTGGAGGGCGAAGAGGTTGGCGAGAGCAGGCGTCCGTAGAAGCCTCTTCCGTCCTGGGCCTGCTGGTGGCGCTGGAGCAGGTTGGAGACCAGATTGAGGTGTGCAGCTGAGCTGGTGTCCAGGGAGGTGGAGGAGAGGGCATCCACTAGAGGCTGCTGGGCACTGCTCCTCAACAGGCTGTCCAGCAGGGCCAGGCCGTGGAGCAGACGGGGCCAGCCGCCGGCCACAGAGTACAGCAGAACATGGCGGAAAAGAGAGTCGATGGCTTCCCGCTTCTCACGCTTCTGTTTGAGGAGACGTGACCGAGCCATGGCTTCAAGCTCCAGGTCCTCCTCCTCCTCGCTCGACAGCGAATCAGACGCCTGCGTGTATTCCGATTCCACCCTCCTCAGGCCGTTGACCACACTTCCTTCTTCTACACTACTACCGTAAGGGGCGGAGCTAGAGCTAGAGTTCTCCGTGGAGACCTGGGCGCCGCTCCACTCGGTGTGTTCGCTCTCTTCCTCCTCCGCCTCTTCCTCCGGTTCGTCTTCTTCCTCTGTCGCTTCGCTATCGCTGCGAGACACCCCCGTGGAGTCGGCCGGTGGTTTGGTTGTCTCCGGGTCATGCTCTAGCTCCCCCCACAGGGCCTCCCGGTCCACCAGGATCATGTGACCCAGTGTACCCTCATCTGTTTGGGTGCTGGTTGCCATGGCGTCCGTGTAACCCTTGGTGGTGCTTCGACTTCTGCTGTTTAAACCTTTCAGATGACCTACAGAGAGAAAGATGTTTCTGAGCATATCAAAACACAAACAAACACACTAGTGAGCAACATCCCTAAACACTCCAACAATCACCACTTCACACACATACCTGCGGTGAGGTTCTGTTTGACACTCTGGATGGTGCAGCGCTTGGTGGAGGGGTGGAGCAGCAGCAGCAGAACAGGCTCCAATATGCGGACCACGTCCTGCAGGGAGAGAGCCCTGACCAGCCAGCACTGGGCTGCAGCACTCACAGAACCATCTGGGCTGTTCAGACAGTCCACCACCACACACAGAGACCTGGGACAGAGATACACAGAGTCAGTCATAGACAGCTGAGAGACACACACACATCATCTTAAATGGTGACCTGAGTGAGTGAGTGACTGAGTGAGTGAGTGAGTGACTGAGTGAGTGACTGAGTGACTGAGTGAGTGAGAGAAGGAGAGAGCGAGAGAAGGAGAAGGAGAGAGATACACAGTCCATCTCAGCAATCTGAGGAAAAGGAGAACAGGTTCACCATGGTAGTAAATAGTAATGTAGTAGTAAACCACTGACCACTCCAGCTCTGTACTCACCGGTCAAACGAGCGGTTCAGAGACATGGTCCGGTTTGACTGGATGTCCCTGGTCAGGTGCCACAGCACTGAGAACCTGTGTAGGGCCTCCAACCGTACAGCCTGAGGGACACACACACACACAACGTCATTTACATGTTAGTTAAACACACAGGATAACTTGCTCTTAGTTATATCACATGAGCATGGGTAAGGTGTGAATATGTAAAACTGGGCTGTTTTTCTTAGTTACAGTGCCTTCTTTAAATGTGTTAGGGATGCTGTAGGGCAGGGGTAGGCAACTAGATTGTTGTCGGAGCGGATGGGGCCGGAACATAATTATAATTTATACACTACAAATTGACCACAACTAAGCGCAAAATGAGATTGTATTTGAAAATAATGATCATTTCATACCTTGATTACATTGAGACACGATCACGTCTCTTTTTTTATTTTATTTGTGAGAATGCTTGGGAACTAGGGTTGAATAGCGGGAACCGGGTTACCGAGATTTCCTGCAAAAACCCACTTCCTTTTCCCTGAATAAATAACTGCGAGAAACCGGTAAATTATAAGAAATGACTTCTATGAACAGCATGACGTGAAATGGAACTGTTCAATTACATGCGATGTCTAAATCTGGCTTCTCTTCGGCCTTCTCTCTGCATGATCAATCATCAACGTTAAGGGTGGGGACAGACAGCGCATCTCATTAGGCTATGGAGTGCAGTTCACAATACATGTATTATCTTATCATAGTAACTTTTTTTCTTGTGACAGGTAGGCCTACGTTTACTACAGAAAAGCCTATGCTACAGTATATAATATAAGGACTGAATGCGCATCTAATTTACACATCACCAAGGGGCCACCTTACTTTTTAATTGTAGCCTAAAGATAATTTTTGGATATTTGCAGCTGCAGAGTTTTACACAGCCTAACACTCGAATATCATTGCTTTAAATCAGTGCGCACTTGAGCACTCTGTCATTTTCTCTCTCCATTAATTCCAATCAAATTGCATCCAAAATAGATAATCCTGTTCAAGATAGATAGATAGATAGATAGATGTCCTAGCCTACCTCTTTCAGGTAATAAATTCAATGCAGTATAGTCTTATATTTAGCTAATGAATGGTGGGTTATGCATACGCTTCTAACTTATAAGCAGCCTCTTGCTCAATACGCACCTGCGCCCCGCTGGCCTCTCTCCTTAGCTCTTGGAGTCCCAGGAAAAGCTAGACTAGAATAGCTTGATGGACATTTTTGTTTAGCATTTCTTATACTAATAGACTATTGGAAGAGGGATGCAAGCTCTTGTTTGCTGAATGCTAAATACAGCAGCCAATAGAAAGAAAAGAGAGAACGTGTGATGGTGGTAGACTATAGCAGTTAATTATTCAGACACATAACCATTTCATCTTCTTGAAGAGAAGTGAAAGAAAGTCATATGCATTTTATTATTGTCCTAAATTATTCAAGCATGTCATTACAATGATGAAGACAACAAAAATTATTTCATTTAACTGTTGAAAGCAAGGAATGAATGAAGCAACAATAGAGAGAGAAAGAGGAGGTAGGCTAATGCGCACGTTGCGCATCATTAGGGGAATTATTATGAAAGGTAGCCTATATAGGCCTATGCATCAGCCTACTAACTATGAAAATGTAAAATAGGCCCTATTATATTTCAAAATGTAAATCAAATTCGCTAGCATATAATTGTAATTTTGTAGGCGGTCTGTACTGCACCAGCATCTAATGTGCTCTCCCAGCTACATGGTTTGAACGAGGTATGTAATTCCAGTCCATATAATAGAATACAGTAATACAGTCCACAATCAAAAAGATGAGCCTACTGGAGCTTGTTTCACTTATTTACCGAAGACAGAAAAGCTACATCTATGGGCTTTTATGTTTTTCTGTCGTTCTTAATGTGCGGTAGCCTATATATTTTATTTTACCTTTTTTAAGCAGGGAGTCACCATAGGCTATGTATTGGATAACGGCACAATAATTTGGACTTCTTTGGGCTTGGGCTCATAAAATGTATTTTAATGTAGGGCTCATAAAATTTCTGTAGTGTATGGCTAGTATCAGGTAGTATCAGTCTTGAATTTTCTTGCTGATCAAAGCTCGAATCAAATCCAGACATATTTATATGCTTTATATGCTTTAGAATGACACTTCCAGTTTTGGCGGGAAATACCGGATTACCTGGGAGAAAAGTGTTTTATTCCCTGAGTGGAACATTTGTAAAATACCGGGAACAGATTTCCTAAATTAAACACATTTTTAGATGAATTCCAGGTGATTTTTAATTTTTTTACAAAAAACTTTGGAGAGCCAAAACAAATCACTTGTGGGACGGTTTTGGCCTGTGGGCTGCCTGTTGCCGACCACTGCTGTTGGGGTATAGGATGGATCTTTGCTGTAGGCGTGCAGTAAACAGTTTGTCTTGAAATTACAGTAAAACTTGTTAGTGTGTGTTCTGTACCTTGTCTCTGTGCAATAAAGCCTGGCAGATGATGTCCTCACAGATGGATGCGGAGGGGGCCAGGCAGTGGAGCCGATAGAAGAGCTCCACACAGGAGGTGTGCTGCTCTCGGCGCTCCACGTCCAGCTGACCCCACAGCACCTGGGCCACCCGCTGCATGGGGTCACAAAGGTCAAAGGTTAGAGGTGAGGATGATTGGTGTTCATTTGGATCAACTGAAGGCGGCAGCATCAGATAACGAACATTCCTGATCTGGTGAGGTAATAGGCAGCGGACATAAAAGGTGATGATGCTGTTGTACAAGTGAGTTACAGATAACATCCTCAGTAAGGAAATGTACAGATTTCATCATATTATAAAGTAACACGTTGGACCAGCTAGGCCCCCTCATATGTTCCCTCTTCATGTGGCAGTAATACAAGCCCCCTGCCATTGTAGACAATTGTTTTCTGACCTGGTAGAAATCTGTGCCCTGCTCGATGGTGCTAAGCAGGCCTGGGTAGATAGGGGGCACAGTGACCATCTGAAGCTGCCCGCTGAGGGGGTTAGCGTCGCTGGCATGGTAGCGCCTGGTCTTGTCCTGGATGACTAGGGCCAGGGACTGGGAGTGGTTGATGAGCTCCAGCAGAGACGACACGGCCGTGTGCTGCACGTGGTAGTCCCTTGACAGGCAACACAGAGTCATCAAGGACCTCAGCCACACAGGCAGGCTGTCTACGTCACTGCCTGAAGAGAAACACATAAGAGAGAGAAAAACATGTTTTGGTGACTTCAAATTCAATATGTTTAAATGAGTCAAGATCAGGAAAGTATATCAGGGTGCTGACTTTACCCATCATAAAGTGGTCAAATCAACCCTGTTAGTAAGCCGTGTTAGGGTATGGGTAAACAACTATTATTGTGTAAAAGTTTATACTGTGACCTCACCTGTATGGTTGAACATATCGCTGTAGAGCCCATGGCTCTCCTCCTCACTCAGGTACAGGGGGAAGGTAGTAGACTCCAACAGAAGGTGGCACGCTGCCGTGAACGCCTGTCGACACTCCTCCGAAATCTCTGCCCTGCCCCGGGGCTTGTACCCTGCCCCCCAGTCCACCCCTCCTCCTGCACACCTTCGCCCCTTCTTCCTCTCTGTAGGGGGCTCTAGGACAGGGGGGTCTAAGGTGGAGCGTGGTTTGTGTTTGTTGGGGGTGAAGAGCTCGGCTAACTTGTCTTTGATCTGGTTGGTGGTGATCTGAGGGCCCTCCCGGAACGAGGATTTCCGACCAGGGGAGAGGGCAACGGGGTCTGGTTGTACAGCCTCCTCCTGCCCCCTGACGTCCTCCACCTGAACCAGCAGGTACCTGGGAGGGGAGAGAAGGAGGAGGGAGAGGGAGAGAGAGATCGAGAGAGAGAGAAAGAGCGAGAGAAAGGAGAGAGAGCGGGAGAGAGAGAGACCGAGAGAAAGAAAGCGAGAGGTAGAGAGAGAGCGAGGGGAGAGAGCGAGAGAAAGAGACAGAGACAATAAGAACGTTTGTTAGAGTTGATCAAGTTGTTTTGATTGATGATTATATTTCCCTTATGTGATAATGTTCTCTACCTGGTGGTGATGAAGGCCAGGATATCCTGCAAATACTGGGTTATGGTCTCCACACTGCCCCCCTTCCTCCACACGCCCTCGCCCCCTTTCACGATCCCCGCCCCTTCAGGGCCCAGGCCCGACCCTGGTAGGAGGTGCAGCTCTGATGGCGAGGCGCTGATGCCCAATCCGCTGTCTTCAGACCGAAGGGGCAGGAAGGGGCTTTCTCCCTCTACTGGACCAGTCTCCTGCTCCATGTCCCCATTCAGCTTAGGCTCTTCCTCTGGTTCTGCGTTGTCATGGTTACCGTTGACCTTACCACCATCTTCATCATTATCCTCCTCATCCTTCTCCTTGTCCACGTTCTGTAGGGTAGAAAATGTATGATCCAACCAGAATATCACCATTGAGGGAGAGAGTAGTATGACCTAAAATGACTGTTAAAGAACCATCTCCTTGTCCTTAAACTTCTCAAATATCCATGAACCCCATCACGGGCCAGTGAGTGACTGAACAAAGCTAGAGATCAGTGGGAGCTGTGTCTATGTGACAGACAGACAGGTCAATGTTACAGCTGGACTCCAGAACATGGCAAAAAAACTATTACATCTGTATGGACAGTGAAATGAGAAGCATGTGATTGGCCGGCCTGTGTACAGTCAGGATCTAAAATCAAGATGTACAGCATGACCAGGAGCTAACCCTACCAGAAATGTTATCCCTCGGTCAGACAGGTCACCTCCCAGTAAGCATCCTGACCTAAGGGCATGTCCTTTCTGAAGTACCTCTGTAGTGCTGCATTCCTAACTCACATTTGTATTCTACTCTCAATACAGCTTATCTGAACCACTGCACACACACACAGTCTGACCTGAACATATTCGAAGCTCTCCTCCTGTGCCTGTGACTCCACTTCCTGTGTCTGTGACTCCTCCTCCATGTCCATATAAGCCACAGGCATCTGGATCTTACTGAGCACCTTAAAGCAGGCGTGCAGGCCTTGCGTGAGCTCCGATAAGTCCAGGGAGGTCATGTGGGTGCAGAGCACGTGCAGCATGCGGCCCAGCATCTGGGGCAGGAACTGAGACTGGATGTCAGCATGGAGCTCCTATTGGTCCAGACACAGAGAAACGGACCAGTCAGAGGTTTAGAGAGAGAGAGAGAGGGGTTGAGAGAGAGAGCGGTTGAGAGAGAGAGGAGGTTGAGAGAGAGAGAGGTTGAGAGAGAGAGCGGTTGAGAGAGAGAGAGGAGAGGTTGAGAGAGGTGAGAGAGACGAGGAGAGAGAGGTTAGAGAGAGAGAGAGAGGAGGAGAGGGGTGAGAGGAGAGCTAAAGAGAGGAGGAGCTTTCGAGAGGTAAAGACGAGAGCGCGAGCTATGTTCCCGCGGAGGCAGCGAGGTTGACGGGAACGACGGGCTACCGGCGGGCTCCGCAGAGAGAGAGGGAGCGCGCGGCTAGAGGGAGCAGAGCGGGCGCCAGATTTGGATAGATGAGTCATAGAGACGACGAGAGTTATGCGGAACGCAGGTTGGTTTGAGAGAGAGCAGTAAGCGAGCGTAGTAGATAGAGAGAGAGAGAGAGAGTGTACCAGAGGGATGACATCCATTAGAAATATGATGAGGGTGGAGATCTCTGTGACAGAGGGAGCAGCTGGGTTACTTTGGAAACCCAGACAGGAAGAGAGAGAGAGAGAGCAGTTAAACAATGTTTGAGAAATATGCTTTATAACAGTTAAGCCACTATGACTATTCCAGAGGAGGTACAGTAGGTGTTACCTGAGGCAGGTGCAGAAGTGGCAGGTCATGTAATCCCACAGGAACTCACTGTTCATGGAGCTCACCAGCATGTTCACTGTCTTTATGATCTCTGACGCGTTCTTGTTTTCTTTTATTTTACTGCACAGAAAACACAATCCAAAACACATCCACTCAGTCACTATCATGTCATTCTCTTTTTAGGAAAATCTTAGGATATAAGGACAACCATTCCTAATAAATACCATTCATTTATACACTACCGGTCAAACGTTTTAGAACACCTACTCATTCAAGGGTTTTTCTTTATTGTTACTATTTTCTAAATTGTAGAATAATTGTGAAGACATCAAACACATATGGAATCATGTAGTAACCAAAAAAGTGTTAAACAAATCAAAATATATTTTATATTTGAGATTCTTCAAATAGCCACCCTTTGCCTTGATGACAGCTTTGCACACTCTTGGCATTCTCTCAACCAGCTTCATAAGGTAGTCACCCAGAATGCATTTAAATTAACAGGTGTGCCTTCTTAAAAGTGAATTTGTGCGTTTGAGCCAATCAGTTGTGTAGGGGGGGTATACATAAGATAGCCCTATTTGGTAAAAGACCAAGTCCATATTATGGCAAGAACAGCTCAAATAAGCAAAGAGAAACGACAGTCCATCATTACTTTAATATTAATTAATAATAATTAATATGCCATTTAGCATACATTTTATTTTAAGACATGAAGGTTAGTCAATACGGAACATCAAGAACTTTGAACGTTTCTTCAAGTGCAGCAGCAAAAACCATCAAGCGCTATGATGAAACTGAGGACCGCCACAGGAATGGAAGACCCAGAGCAACCTCCGCTGCAGAGGATAAGTTCATTAGAGTTACCAGCCTCAGAAATTGCAGCCAAAATAAATGCTTCACAGAGTTCAAGTAACAGACACATCTCAACATCAACTGTTCAGAGGAGACTGTGTGAATCAGGCCTTCATGGTCGAATTGCTGCAAGGAAACCACTAAAGGACACCAATAAGAAGAAGAGACTTGCTTGGGCCAAGAAACACGAGCAATGGACATTAGACCAAATTGGAGATTTTTGGTTCCAACCGTCGTGTCTGTGAGACGCGGTGTGGGTGAACGGATGATCTCCGCATGTGTATTTCCCACCGTAAAGCATGGAGGAGGTGGTGTTATGGTGTGGGGGTGCTTTGCTGGTGACACTGTCGGTGATTTATTTAGAATTCAAGGCACACTTCACCAGCATGGCTACCACAGCATTCTGCAGTGATACACCATCCCATCTGGTTTGGGCTTAGTGGGACTATGATTTGTTTTTCAACAGGACAATGACCCAACACACCTCCAGGCTGTGTAAGGGCTATTTGACCAAGAAGGAGAGTGATGGAGTGCTGCATCAGATGATCTGACCTCCACAATCCCCCGACCTCAACCAAATTGAGCTGGTTTGGGATGAGTCGGACTGCAGAGTGAAGGAAAAGCAGCCAACAAGTGCTCAGCATATGTGGGAACGCCTTCAAGACTGTTGGAAAAGCATTCCATGTGAAGCTGGTTGCGAGAATGACAAGAGTGTGCAAAGCTGTCATCAAGGCAAAGGGTGGCTATTTGAAGAATCTGAAATATAAAATATTTTTTGATTTGTTTAACACTTTTTTGGTTACTACATGTGTTATTTCATAGTTCTGATGTCTTCACTATTATTCTACAATGTAGAAAATAGTAAAAATAAAGAAAAACCCTTGAATGAGTAGGGGTTCTAAAACTTTTGACCGGTAGTGTATATCAGTTCATTCTCCACTTACAGTTCCTTCAGAAAGTATTCACACACCCTTGGCTTTTTCCCAACTGTTGTTGTGTTACAGTCTGAATTTAAAATTGATTAAATTGAGATTGCATCACTGGCCTACACACAATACCCCATAATGTCAAAGTGGAATTATGTTTTTTGAAATTTTTACAAATATAAATAAACGCAACATGCAACAGTTTCAAATATTTTACTGAGTTACAGTTCATATAAGAAAGTCAGTCAATTTAAATAAATAAATTAGGCCCTAATCTATGGATTTCACATGTCTGGGCAGCCGGGCCCAGCCAATCAGAATTTGTTTTCCCCCACAAAAGGGCTTTATTACAGACAAACACTCCAGCTTATGGTAGAGAAATGAACATTCAATTCTCTGGCAACAGCTCTGGTGGACATTGCTGTAGTCAGCATGCCAATTGTACACTCCCTCAAAACTTGAGACATCTGTGGCATTGTGCAGTGTGACAAAACTGCACATTTTAAAGTGGCCGATTATTGTCCCCAGCACAAGGTGCACCTGTGTAATGATCATGCTGTTTAATCAGCTTCTTGATATGCCACACCTGTCAGGTGAATGGATTATCTTGGCAAAGGAGAAATGCTCACTAACAGGGATGTAAACAAATTTGTGCACAAACTTTGAGCGAAATAAGCTTTTTGTGAGTATGTAAAAAAAAAAATTTTTTTTTTTTTTCGAAAAGTGAAACATGGGACCAGCACTTTACATGTTGCATTTATATTTTTGTTCAGTGTAATAAAAATGAAAAGTTGAAATGTCTTGAGTCAAGAAGTATTCAAACCCTTTGTTATGGCGAGCCTAAATAAGTTCACTTTGGATGGTGTATCAATACACCCAGTTACTACAAAGATACAGGCGTCCTTACTAACTCAGTTGCTGGAGCGGAATGAAACCACTCAGAGATTTCACCATGAGGCCAATGGTGACTTTAAAACAGTTACAGAGTTTAATGGCTGTGATAGGAGAAAACTGAGAATGGATCAACAACATTGTAGTTACTCCACAATACTAACCTAATTGACACAGTGAAAAGAAGCAAGCCTGTACAGAATACAAATATTCCAAAACATGCATCCTGTTTGCAACAAGGCACTAAAGTAATACTGCAAAAATGCGGCCAAGCGATTAATTTTTTGACCTGAATAACAAGTGTTATTATAACACATTACTGAGTACCACTTTCCAAATTTTCAAGCATAATGGTGGTAGCATCATGTTATGGGTATGCTCGTAATTGTTAATTAATCAAATGTATAAAGCCCTTTTAACATCAGCAGATGTCACAAAGTGCTTATACAGAAACCCAGCCTAAAACCCCAAACAGCAAGCAATGCAGATGTAGAAGCAAGGGGATTTTTTCAGGATAAAAAATAAATGGAATGGAGCTAAGCACAGGCAAAATCCCAGAGGAAAACCTGGTTCAGTCTGCTATTCACCAGACACTGGGAGATGAATTCACCTTTCAGCAGAACAATAACCTAAAACACAAGGTCAAATATACACTGGAGTTGCTTACCAAGAAAGTGAATGTTCGTGAGTGGCCGAGTTACAGTTTTGACTTAAATTTGCTTGAAAATTTGAGTTACAGTTTTGACTTAAATTTGCTTGAAAATTTAAAAGACCTGAAAATGGTTGTCTAGCCATGATCAAGAACAAATTTGACAGAGCTTGAAGAATTCTGAAAAGAATTCTGGGCAAATGTTGCACAATTCAGGTGTGGAAAGCTCTTAGAGAGTTACCCATAAAAACTCACAGATGTAATCGCTGCAAAAGTTATTGACTCAGGGGGTTGAATACTTATCTAATCAAGATATTAGTATTTTATTTTTCAGAAATGTTTTACAAATGTTATTTTTCTTCCACATTACAGAGTATTGTGTAGATCGTTGACAAAAAATGACAATTAAATCAATTTTAATGCCACTTTGTAACACAACAAAATGTGGAAAAAGTCAAGGGGTGTGAATACTTTCTGAAGGCACTGTACCTCTTCCGCTCCGGTCTTCTCACCTGGCTAGCTGGTTGCCTGTCAGGCCAGTGCTGGTTATAGACTCCTCTCCAAGCATCTCTCTGCAGTAGCTATAGAACGCTCTCACCGCCTCCAATAACACACTGCCCACCACCAGAGGACCTGAGAGAGATCATCACAATCATCATCACTACACACTGCCCACCACCAGAGGACCTGAGAGACCACCATCATCACTACAAGGTCCGATAGGAATTCAGGGAACTCGGTGAGGAACGCTTTATACGGCCCAGGAGGCCTGTGAACAGTAGCTATGAAAAGTGATTGAGTAGGCTGCATAGATTTCATGACTAGAAGCTCAAAAGACGAAAACAGTCTTTTTTTTTTGTAAATTGAAATCTGCTGTCATAAATGTTAGCAACACCTCCACCATTGCAGGATGGGCGGGGGATATGGTCACTAGTGTAACCAGGAGGAGAGGCCTCATTTAACACAGTACATTCATCAGGCTTGAGCCATGTTTCAGTCAGGCCAATCACATCAAGATTATGATCAGTGATTAGTTGATTGACTATGACTGTCTTGGAAGTGAGGGATCTAACATTAAGTAACCCTATTTTGAGATGTGAGATATCACAATCTCTTTCAATAATGACAGGAATGGAGGAGGTCTTTATTCCAGTGAGATTGCTAAGGCGAACACCGCCATGTTTTGTTTTGCTCAACCTAGATCGAGGCACAGACACGTCTCAGTGGGGATAGCTGAGCTGACTACACTGACTGTGCTAGTGGTAGACTCCACTAAGCTGGCAGGCTGGCTAACAGCCTGCTGCCTGGCCTGCACCCTATCTCAATGTGGCGCTAGAGGCAGATAATATTCACATTTTTGGTGACTTTAATATTCACATGGAAAAGTCCACTGACCCACTTCAAACGGCTTTCGGAGCCATCATCAACTCAGTGGGTTTTGTCCAACATGTCTCCGGACCTACTCATTGCCACAGTCATACCCTGGATCTAGTTTTGTAACAATACATTTGATTCCTGGTATACAGAAGATACCCGAGCCCTGAAGCAAGCTTCCAGAAAATTGGAATGGAAATGGCACTCCACCAAACTGGAAGTCTTCTGACTGGCTTGGAAAGAACGTATCGTGCAATATCGAAGAGCCCTCACTGCTGCTCGATCATCCTATTTTTCCAACATAATTGAGGAGAATAAGAACAATCCAACATTTCTTTTTGATACTGACGCAAAGCTAACTAAAAAGCAGCGTTCAACAAGAGAGGATAGCTTTCACTTCAGCAGTGATAAATTCATGAACTTCTTAGATGGAAAGATCATGATCATTGCAAGCAAATTACGGACTCCACTTGAATCTGCTTATTTCTCCAAAGCTCAGTTGTCCTGAGTCTGCACAGAACTGCCAGGACCTGGGATCAATGGAGACACTCAAGTTTTTTTTAATCCTCTATCTCTTGACACATTCATGAAAATAGTAATGGCCTGTAAACCGTCAAGCTGCATACTGGACCCTATTCCAACTAAACTACTGAAAGAGCTACTTCGTGTGCTTGGCCCTCTTACGTTGAACATAATAAATGGCTCCCTATCCACTGGATGTGTACCAAACTCACTAAAAGTAGCAGTAATAAAGCCTCAATTGAAAAAGCCAAACCTTGACCCGAAAAATGTAAAAAACTATCAGCCTATATTGAATCTCCCATTCCTCTCAAAGATTTTAGAAAAAGCTGTTGCGCAGCAACTCACTGCCTTCCTGAAGACAAATAATGTATACGAAATGCTTCAGTCTGGTTTTAGACCCCATCATAGCACTGAGACTGCACTCGTGAAGGTGGTAAATTAACTTTTAATGGCGTCAGACCAAGGCTCTGCATCTGTCCTCGTGCTCCTAGACCTTAGTGCTGCTTTTGACACCATCGATCACCACATTCTTTTGGAGAGATTAGAAACCCTTATTGGTCTACACGGACAAGTTCTTGCCTGGTTTAGATCTTATCTGTCGGAAAGATATCAGTTCTTCTCTGTGGATGGTTTGTCCTCTGACAAATCAATTGTACGTTTCGGCGTTCCTCAAGGTTCCGTTTTAGGACCACTATTGTTTTCACTATATTTTCTACCTCTTGGTGATGTCATTCGGAAACACAATGTCAACTTTCACTGCTATGTGGACGACACACAGCTGTACATTTCAATGAAACATGGTGAAGCCCCAAAATTGCCTACCCTGGAAGCCTGTGTTTCAGACATAAGGAAGTGTTTGGCGGCAAATGTTTTACTTTTAAACTCTGACAAAACAGAGATGCTAGTTCTAGGTCCCAAGAAACAAAGAGATCTGCTGTTGGATCTGACAATTAATCTTGATGGTTGTACTGTCGTCTCAAATAAAACTGTGAAGGACCTCGGCGTTACTCGGGACCCTGATCTCTCTTTTGACAAACATATCAAGAATATTTCAAGGACAGCTTTTTTCCATCTTCTTAACATTGCAGAAATCAGAAACGTTTTGTCCAAAAATGATGCAGAAAAGCTCATCCATGCTTTTGTCACTTCTAGATTAGACTACTTCAAATGCTCTACTCTCCGGCTACCCAGATAAAGCACTAAATCAACTTCAGTTAGTGCTAAACACGGCTGCTAGAATCCTGACTAGAACCCAAAGAATGTATTATATTACTCCAGTGCTAGCCTCTCTACACTGGCTTCCTGTTAAACCTTGATTTCAAGGTTATACTGCTAACCTACAAAGCATTACATGGGCTTGCTCCTACCCACCTCTCCGATTTGGTCCTGCCGTACATACCTACACGTACACTACGGTCACAAGACGCAGGCTCCTTATTGTCCCTAGAATATCTAAGCAAACAGCTGGAGGCAGGGCTTTCTCCAATAGAGCTAAATTTTTATGGAATGGTATGCCTATCCATGTGAGAGACGCAGACTCGGTCTCAACCTTTAAGCCTTTACTGAAGACTCATCTCTTCAGTAGGTCCTATGATTGAGTGTAGTCTGGCCCAGGGGTGCGAAGGTGAACGGCAAGGCACTGGAGCGACGAACTGCCCTTGCTATGAAAAGCCAACTGACATTTACTCCTGAGGTACTGACCTGTTGCACCCTCTAGAACCACTGTGATTATTATTTGACCCTGCTGGTCATCTATGAACGTTTGAACATCTTGAAGAACAATCTGGCCTTAAATGGCCATGTACTCTTATAATCTCCACCTGGCACAGCCAGAAGAGGACTGGCCACCCCTCAGAGCCTGGTTCCTCTCTAGGTTTCTCCCTAGGTTCCTGCCTTTCTAGGGAGTTTTTCCTAGCCACCCTGCTTCTGCATCTGCATTGCTTGCTGTTTTGGGTTTTAGGCTGGGTTTCTGTATAGAATTATGTGACATCTGCTTATGTAAAAAGGGCTTTATAAATAAATGTGATACATTATGATGACATTTTGTGATGTTGTTTGTTTGTTTTGGTCTTCAGCAAGTGTTTTCTCAGCTGTTAATGCACACAAAACATTTTAGAGGCAAGTCGAAGTCGGTAGCCGAAGTCTACACCCCTTCGTCAGTGATGGGTCAACAGTAGGGATTCTTCAATTAAGTGTTTGTTGTCATTCAATGAGAGACTAATCATTTTCATACAATTTTTTTCACTTGAGAAATACTGCAACAAACATCTTAGTTAGATGTAAATTGAATAGATGTAAGATGTCCTCAGCAAGAAATTAAATGAATGACATTTCTTGAGTTTTCTTAGATTAATTCTGTCTATTTTGAGTAAATACTATTGCAGTCTTTTAAAGGAGTATGCGAGCACACTCGTTCGGTTCGCCTAGCCGAGTTCGACTAGTCACCAGCCGAACCGAAGCATCCGGAAAGCTTAAGGGAGGTGAGGGAGGTGTGTGTGTTTGGGCCAAAGCTTCATTCTATAGCTAGAGGACTCATGATATCTCCAGGAGTGATAAGTATCATATTTTTCTTTATCTGTTGTTGTTGTTGTTGTTGTTGTCTAGTACTGTCTTTTTGCTAGCTAAGGCCATCTAATTTAAGTGCTGCCTGTCTTCCCAGTAGCCTACTTGGTGGTCCTCTGTAGCTCAGCTGGTAGAGCACGGCGCTTGTAACGCCAGGGTAGTGGGTTCGATCCCCGGGACCACCCATACACAAAAATGTATGCACACATGACTAACTCGCTTTGGATAAAAGCGTCTGCTAAATGGCATATTATTATTATTGGTGTGTGAACTGCTGACTGCTCATAACTTGCAGATGATTGTTGACACATCAACCAGGATTAAGGGGCAGGGCAATTTGTGACTGTTGTTGTTTTCGTAATCAGTGGCTATATTGGAGGGGGAATGGTTTCTCCTCTACTAGGCAGTCAGCAATTAGTCACCTTTGCAAGCAATTAGCAATTAGTATTAGTAATTCAGTCTCCCGTTTCCTCAGCAGCGATCTAGTCGCAAAACGAAGATCGTCACCGAAACAAAGACGGTTCTGTTCTGCTGAGTTGTTCAAGGAAGGAAAGAGAGGACTTTCTATCATTTCAATTCCATGCAGTCACTGTCACTTGTCCACTCAAGCTTAACAATGTTGTAATATATTGCCCACCAGGTGTCCTTAGTGTTCCTCAATGAGCTTGACACCTTGATTAAGCTAATTTCCTGATGATGGCTCACTGCTCTTCGTATTTGGTGACTTTAACCTCTGCCTTAGATTAATTTCTTTCCAACTCTCTTTTTCCACTCCTTGCCTTTTGACCTCACCCTTTCCCAGTCCCCTCTCACTCACAAGGCAGGCAATATGCTTGACCTCATCTTTACTAGAGGCTGTTCGCCTACTAATCTCACTGCAACCCCCCTCCACGTCTCTGATCACTACTTAGTTTCCTTTACTGTCTACCTTTCCTCCAACCCTAGCCACTCAGCTCCTACCCAGATGGTCATGTGCCGTCGCAATCTTTGCTATCTCTCTCCCACTACTCTCACCTCTTCTATCCTAGACCATGGTACTTGCCAATGGAGCAGCAAGAAGAACTGGCCCTCCATACCTTTAGGCTATGCTCAAACACTACACCCCAACCCGACCACTCTGTTCTGCCACCTCTGGTCTCTTGGCCCTCCAAACTATGACTGTGATATGTGGTTGTCTCATCTAGCTATCTTAAGATGAATGCACTAACTGTAAGTCGCTCTTGATAAGAGTGTCTGCTTAATGACTCAAATGTAAATGTAAAATGTAAGGGAGGGGAGGTGTGTACGTTTAGGCCTGAGGGAGGGGAGGTGTGTGTGTGTGTGACTACCTATCTCTGGCTTATCCATGAGGCTGATGATGATACGGAAGGGTCGGAGATAACCAATCACGCTCTCCGGGTCTGCCTCCACATCCTTCTGATTCAGGATGTTGATCAAAGCCTAAGGACAGAGAAACAGAGGACACACATACACAAGGTTACACCACCGGTTATTTACTGAATCCAAGGTCTCATTGTTTTCATATTTGAATGAGTGACTTGCATTTAAGGGCAGGGGTTTTTCGAGAAGTCCTTCATGAGTTTTAATCCTCTGTAACAGAATTATTTATATAACTGCTCAACAGTAGTGTTAGTGTGTCTGACCTGCACTAGCAGTTCTCTGGAGTGGGTGTTGAAGTAGAAGGCTGTGTGTTCCTCCATGGACATGGAGAGGTCAGGGTCTGCAGCAACCATACCCCCCTTAATGTCTGTGCCTGGCGAACAGCAACACACCACACACACACATACAGTCATTTACAGTGCCTTCAGAAAGTATTCACACCCCTTGACTTACAGCCTGAATTGAACATTTATTAAATTTTGATTTTTTTGGTCACTGACCTACACACAACACTCCATGTCAAAGTGGAATTATGCTTTTTTACTAATTAATTAAATATGAAAAGCTGAAATGTCTTGAGTCAATAAGTATTCAACCACTTTGCTATGGCAAGCCTAAATAAGTTCAGGAGTAAAAATTTGCTTAACAAGTCACATAATAAGTTGCATTGACTCACTGTGTGCAATATTGTTTAACATGATTTTTGAATGACTACCTCATCTCTGTACCCCACACATACAATTATCTGTAAGGTCCCTCAGTCTCAACCACAAAGACCAGGGAGGTTTTCCAATGCCTTGCAAAGAAGGACACCTATTGATGGGTAAAAATAAGACATTGAATATCCCTTTGAGCATGGTGAACTTATGAATTACACTTTGGATGGTGTATCAATACATCCAATCACTACAAAGATACAGGCGTCCTTCGTAATTCAGTTGCCAGAGAGGAAGGAAACCGCTCAGAGATTTCACCATGAGGCCAATGGTGACTTTTTAAAGTTAGAGTTTAAATGGCTGTGATAAGAGAAAACTGAGGATGAATCAACAACATTGTAGTTACTCCACAATACTAAACTAATTGACAGAGTGAAAAGAAGGAAGCCTGTACAGAATAAAAGTATTCCAAAACATGCATCCTGTTTGCAACAAGGCACTAAAGTAATCCTGCAAACAATGTGGCAAAGCAATTAACTTTTTGTCCTGAATACAAAGTTTGGGGCAAATCCAATACAACTCTCCATATTTTCAAGCATAGTGGTGGCTGTATCTTGTTATGGGTATGTTTGTAATCGTTAAGGACTGGGAAGTTTCAGGATAAAAAAGAAATGGAATGGAGCAAAATCCTAGAGGAAAACCTGGTTCAGTCTGCTTTCCACCAGATATTGGGAGATTAATCCCCCTTTCAGCAGGACAATAACCTAAAACACAAGGCCAAATCTACACTGGTTGCTTACCAAGAAGACAGTGAATGTTTTGGAGTGGCCGAGTTACAGTTTTGACTTAAACCTTCTTGAAAATGTATGGCAAGATCTGAAAATGGTTATCTGGCAATGATCAACAACCAATTTGAAAGAGCTTGAAGAATTTTGAAAATAATAATGGGCAAATGTTAGAGACTTAACCAGAAAGAATCACAGCTGTAATCGCTGCCAAAGGTGCTTCTACAAAGTATTGACTCAGGGGTGTGAATACTTATGTAAATGAGATATCTCTGTATTTCATTTTCAATACATTTGCAAACATTTCTAAAAACATGTTTTGTGTGTAGATGGGTGAGAAAAAAAATCAATTTAATCTATTTTGAATTCAGGCTGTAACACAACAAAATATTGAATAAGTCAAGGGGTATGAATACTTTTTGAAGACACTGTATAATACCAAGGCATACATTTTAGTCTCTGAAAGGCAAGGAGTAAAGAATTTAAGCTATATGGATAAATGTATTACCTAGACTTTAACAACATTAGCTACAACTAAAGCTATTATTAGCTACACAGTGAACTATATTCAGGCCTACTGCTAGACTAGGACTCAAAACCATAACTTCATTGCATGTGTGTGTGTGTGTGTGTGTGGTGCATGTCTATCCACAGTAGCTACCTAGCAGCCAGGCGTAGAGGCGTCTGTTGAGGGACATGTCTCTGCGGAGCAGCGTGAGGGAAGCAGCAGACACCACTGTGACTGTGTCCTCCCTGCTCATAGGAATACTGCCTTCTGTTGGGTCCTGAGAGAACAACAGGGACAGTTACACATGGGGCACAGGGAGGAGGAAGAAGGTGTTAATGAAGAGAGAGAAAAGCAGAGGGAGAAGGAAACGGTAGCGGATGAAGATGAAGATAATATAGAGGCAGAGAAGGAAGAGGGAGGAGGAGGAGGGAGGAGAAGTGGAGGAGCAGGACAGGGTGGATAAGATGAAAAAGGTGAGGAGGAGAAGAAGGTGAGGAGGAGGAGGAAATGTTACTCACCAGGCAGGTGGCCAAGGAGAAGAAGTAGAGCAGGATCTCCAGCATATTCCTCTGCACCAGAACATTAGAGTCCTGCAGAGACAGACACAACGCCTTCACCTGGGAGAAAGAGGGAGAGAGAGGTTCTACAACGTATCCGACATGGCAGACACAACCCTACACTCATACTCGCATTAACATGCGGAAACACACACCAACTCACCACCAAGCGGTTGTTATAGCCCAGCATGCATGTCTGCTGGCGCGGTGGGGTGAAGCGGTCGAAGTGTGTGACGATGAAGAGAGAGGCAGGCAGCCGGACCAGAGGGCTGACCAACACACTGCCCCACAGAGCCCCATAGAACACTTGCTGGCCCACTAACAGAGACAGCCTCAGTAGCAACGCATCCGTCCTGGAAAGAGGGGAGAGAAGGGAGAGAGGGGAGAGAGATCAAAGTTTAAGAGAGGGGGAAAAGGAAGAGGATATGTTATATTATGCAATATTTATGGGAGAGCTATTTTTAGCTCTGTTTTGGTACACAGTTACGTGTGTGTGTGTGTACCTGTCGTAGACATCAGCCCCCTCCTCTAGGCCAGGCAGTAGCCCAGTGATGAAGGCCTGTAGGCTGGGCAGAAGGGCCCTCTGTAGGGGGAGGTAGTAGCGCTCATACAGCGTCAACAGGGCTGGCTTCACTGCCATCGCAGCATGGCCCAGCAACGGGAACAGCCCCGAGCTAAAACACACACATGATAGAGATCAATACAACACACTAACACATACAGTACAGGAGAACAACACACAAATCCCCCCAAAACACACTAACATTGGTCAATAGGCATTCAAACAAATCAGGACAATAGACATGCATGCACGCACACACACACACAATGGGTTAGTGCTGGTTAGCATGAGTCCCACACCTGTAGATGAAGAGGTCCTTGGCCAGCCATTTGGTGCCGATGATCTTGAAGATGACCTCATAGGTCTCCAAGGCCTTGAGGTGCACTCCACTGGGCAGGGCCGGGTGCAGACACTGGGCCAGACGCTTCCCAATGATCAGCCTCTGGGGCAGCAGAGAGTAGCGCAGGTTACTTTGCAGGGCCTAGGGGGAGGGACAGAGAGAGATATGCCAGTGGTGCTTGTTAGTGGTGTTTTAATGAATATCAAAGAAATACGTAATTCATTGGTAATTATTGTATAATTATTGTACAATTACCATGCTACCTTGTTACTGTGTAATTTGCTTTGTTTACTTTAGAACCAAGACACACACAGATCAACACACAGCCATTCTACCATAACACTCCTAAGCAAACATCCTTCTTGCTAAATGTGTCACAAGCAGGGACCCACTACTGTCCAAAGTCCCTTTGGGTGGAGCAGGGGACAGAGAGTTAGGCCATGTATTCTGGGCTACTGAAGTAGAACAATTTACAAGAAACATGAAACTGAGTGCTTGCAAAAGCAATCTATACACACTTTATGATAGGTCAATAAGAGTTTGAATAATGTGTTTGGTAAATACATTATTCAGTAAAAGGGATAGACTATCATCCTCTCCATTTAATGATTGGGGGCTAAATGAATGAACACTGATGTAGGCTAATTTTTTGAAACTCAATTGATAGATTGGGAATGTTTTCCATCTCACAGTCCACTGATCGTGGAGCCAGATCCAGACAGAACCAGATGCAACCATGGCAACGCCAGCAAGGCCGGATAAGTGACTGCAGGTAGTGTCTGGGCTCAGAGCCAGAGAGTCACTCACACACAGACACACACACAAGCAGAAGAACACATACACACGCCCATGAACTCTTACACAGATTTACCACATATAATATGTATGTTGTTGAGCTTCAAATTGGACACTCAAGACTAGATATGTTTCTGAGGCTCACAGTTAGGCCTAGCCTGCTTTGTTTACAGAACTGTTAAACTGATGCAAATGCTCTCAATGCAAAGCAACATACACAAAATAACGATTAAAACACTAATGGCAATACACTGATCAAGAGACCAATGGCCTGGCTATCTCGTCAATGCAAAAGAATAAGCAGTGCTCTTCTACTCTGACAGGACACGAACACACTGAGAAAATGCAAATCAGGATAGAAATACAACTATGAATGCACCACTGACAAAGTAATTTCATCTGTCACATCATGGGTGCAACTCAATAGTGTAGAGTGGCTTGATGTCTGACCTCCAGACTCAATATATTGTACCAGCCTTGCCATCCATACCTTATTGAGCTTGCCCAGAGAGGAGATGAGGTCAGCCCACTCGCTGGACGACTCAAAGTTCCGCAGGGCTTTCTCGATGACAGCTGCGTAGCTACGGTAACGGTAGTCATTCTGCAGCTCCTGCTCCTCGGGATCCATGATGCCTCACTCACGTCCCAGCATGCTCAGCCTGTCTGGGGAAAGGGGGAGGAGGAAGGGGAGCAGAGAGGAGGAAAGGGAGAGAGGGGGAGACAGAACAGAGAATTGTTGTCAGACATTCATCCCTACACCAAGGTCATGTAAAATAGGCTCACACTGGTAGAAAACAGTGAAACATGGAGGTAGGTTATACATGTACCTGAACCATTTTGATACGATTTCACCTAATGAACACAACCCTGAACCCAGATCTCTGTTTGTAGCATGTTGCAGAGGGGTGTCTCTTGCAAACGTGATTTGATATGCTCACAGTCACACGCACACAATGTTTACCACATCTACACGTGCTCCCAGAGGAATAAACATCAGGGCCCATATTCACAAAGTGTCTCAGGATAGAAGTGCTGATCTAGGATTAGTTTTGCTTTTTAAATCATGATGAATAAGATGGGAGCACTCTTACTCTTGAGATGATTTGTGAATCCTGGCGCAAGTAACACACACAGGCGGTTGCTATGACAACCAGTGGGATGACAAGTCCTATGAATGATCTGAAATGGAAACATCATCCTAGATATGCAATAAACAGGCTTAAAGTCAATAAAACATTTTATTCAGCTTGCAGAAATATTTAGTTTAACTGTATTATGATCCATGGTCTTAACTCTGCAGTGGCAAGGTTGTTTAGTGTGTGTGTGTGTGTGTGTGTGTGTACACTCTGTAAATGTAATAGAGCAGAGAGAGAGGTACTAACAGAGACAGGACCGGATTAGAGCAACAGAGACATCTGGACATCTGGACTCACTTTGGGAGTGAGAGAGAGGCTTTAACATGGGCAAGCCTGCCCAACACGTGCCTGACAACACACACACGCACACAGAATATTATGCTTATAAAAACACAATATCGTGATTTCTCTGGCTGTTTCGTTAAAGACACGAGCACTGCCACATGTGAGGAGTCTCATTCTGGTCACTCCATGTCAGTACAGTAACAGGTCAGCTTACCTCTGGAAATAATTCCTCCATTAACTGACCAACAGTGAGGAAGCACTACAAAACTCAATCCCTTGATCCATGGAAACAGGAGAGAACATGGTGCTGCTGAGCAACAATAACATGGCAGCCAGTAACCAAGTCAGAGTAAATGTCAACGACAAAGTGGTCTACCAATATATGCTCTACCCTAGTCACTCTGTCTGGGGTATACCTGCGCACACTCCAAGCTCAGAACACATATCCCTCCCCTCTATATGTGTAATAGTCTAGCTCTCTGTGTCTCTTTGTGTCTGTGTGTTAGAGGCTGTGTGTGGATATTGAGATCACAGGCACACTCAGCCAGTTGATTAAATTAGGGCCATCTCAGGTCAACATCTCTAGTCTGGGCTCAGGAGCTAGCTAGGGGCTGCTTGTTTGTTTGCCAGCCCTAGCATTCTTTATCTGTCTGTCTCCTCCACAACATTGATCTTCAATGTGTTTCCTGGAAAAAAGCTGAGCAGACACACTGACACACACGGATTGACTTGATAATTGACTAGGCCTATCTCCTTTAAATCTAGGCCTATTTCTGTCTCTGTTTCTCTATAAACCTTTATCTCAGACAAGCTTAGGGATTTATAGACAGAAGGGTTGACAAAGACAGAGATACAGACACACAGACGAGAACGTTTGACGATGACACAACGGTGGTAGGCCTGATCACCAACGATGATGAGACAGCATATAGGGAGGAGGTAATAGTTGTAATAGTTCGCCTAATTTCTGTTTATGTGACAAAATAAGCTAGTATAGTGTAGAGAATCATTGTACCATCTAAACCACTTGAAATATATTTTCCATAACCAAAAATTTTGTTGTTTCAGCTGGTGTACAAAAACACAACTTAAGAACGGGAAGCATAGAAATAGTGCACATAGAACAGATCTACCACTTCATAGATTTGCTTTCAAGTAGACTGATAGATCTATAACTCACATTTCTATGAGAATTTGGTCGGGTCGCCCAAAAAGTTACATATTGCCACTTTAACCAAATAACTACCCGGACTATCTGCATTGACTCTTTTTGCACTAACTTTTTTTGAATCATCACATACACTGCTGCTACTGTTTACTATCTGTCACTTCATTCCTGCACATTGACTCGGTACTGGTACCCAGTGGTGGAAAAAGTACATCATTGTTATAATTGAGTAAAAGTAAAGATACCTTCATAGAAAATGACTAAAGAGAAAGTCACCCAGTAAAATACTACCTGAGTAAAAGTCTAAAAATATTTGTTTTTAAATATACTTAAGTATCAAATGTAAATGTAATTGCTAAAATGTACTTAAGTATCAAAAGTTAAAGTTAAAATATAAATCATTTAAAATTCCTTAAATTAAGCAAACCAGACGGCACCATTTTCTTGTTTTTTATTTATTTAAGGATAGCCAGGGGCACGCTCCAACACTCTGACATCATTTACAAACTAAGCATGTGTTTAGTGAGTCCGCCAGATCAGAAGCAGTAAGGATGACCAGGGATGTTCTCTTGATAAGTGTGTGAATTAGACCATTTTCCTGTCCTGCTAAGAATTCAAAATGTAACGAGTACTTTTGGGTGTCAGGGAAAATGTATGGAGTAAAAAGTACATAATTTTCTTTAGGAATGTAGTGAAGTAAAAGTAAAAGTTGTCAAAAATATAAAAGTACAGATACCCCTAAATAAATGACTAAAGTAGTACTTTCATTTATTTTTACACCACTGCTGGTACCCCATGTACAGTTGAAGTCGGAAGTTTACATACACCTTAGCCAAATACATTTAAACTCAGTTTCACAATTCCTGACATTTAATCTTAGTAAAAATTCCCTGTCTTAGGTCAGTTAGCATCACCCCTTTATTTTAAGATTGTGAAATGTCAGAATAATAGTAGAGAGAATTATTTCTTTCAGCTTTTATTTCTTTCATCGCATTCCCAGTGGGTCAGAAGTTTACATACACTCAATTAGTATTTGGTAGCATTGCCTTTAAATTGTGTAACTTAGGTCAAGCGTTTCGGGTAGCCTTCCACAAGCTTCCCACAATAAGTTGGGTGGATTTTGGCCCATTCCTCCTGACAGAGCTGGTGTAACTGAGTCAGGTTTGTAGGCCTCCTTGCTCGCACACGCTTTTTCAGTTCTGCCCACAAATGTTCTATAGGATTGAGGTCAGGGCTTTGTGATGGCCACTCCAATACCTTGACTGTTGTCCTTAAGCCATTTTGCCACAACTTTGGAAGTATGCTTGGGGTCATTGTCCATTTGGAAGACCCATTTGCGACCAAGCTTTAACTTCCTGACTGATGTCTTGAGATGTTGCTTCAATTTATCCACATAATTTTCCTTCCTATAATAATAATAATAATATGATATGCCATTTAGCAGACGCTTTTATCCAAAGCGACTTACAGTCATGCGTGCATACATTTTTTTTGTGTATGGGTGGTCCCGGGGATCGAACCCACTACCTTGGCGTTACAAGCGCCGTGCTCTACCAGCTGAGCTACAGAGGATCCCCCTTTTTCCTCCAAACATAACGATGGTCATTATGGCCAAACAGTTCTATTTTTGTTTCATAAAAAAAGTACAATCTTTGTCCCCATGTGCAGTTGCAAACCGTAGTCTTGCTTTTTTATGGCGGTTTTGGAGCAGTGGCTTCTTCCTTGCTGAGTGGCCTTTCAGGTTATGTCGATACAGGACTCGTTTTACTGTGGATATAGATACTTTTGTACCGGTTTCCTCCAGCATCTTCACAAGGTCCTTTGCTGTTGTTCTGGGATTGATTTGCACTTTTCGCACCAAAGTACGTTAATCTCTAGGAGACAGAACGCGTCTCCTCCTGAGCGGTATGACGGCTGCGTGGTCCCATGGTGTTTATACTTGCGTACTATTGTTTGTACAGATGAATGTGGTACCTTCAGGCGTTTGGAAATTGCTCCCAATGATGAACCAGACTGGTGGAGGTCTACAATTTTTTTTCTGAGATCTTGGCTGATTTCTTTTGATTTTCCCATGATGTCAAGCAAAGAGGCACAGAGTTTGAAGGTAGGCCTTGAAATACATCCACAGGTACACCTCCAATTGACTCAAATTATGTCAATTAGCCTATCAGAAGCTTCTAAAGCCATGACATCATTTTCTGGAATTTTCCAAGCTGTTTAAAGGCACAGTCAACTTAGTGTATGTAAACTTTTAACCCACTGGAATTGTGATACAGTGAATTATAAGTGAAATAATCTGTCTGTAAACAATTGTTGGAAAAATTACTTGTGTCATGCACAAAGTAGATGTCCTAACCGACTTGCCAAAACTATAGTTTGTTAACAAGAAATTTGTGGAGTGGTTGAAAAACTAGTTTTAATGACTCCAACCTAAGTGTATGTAAACTTACGACTTCAACTGTATATAGCCAAGTTATCGTTACTCATTGTGTATCTATTATTACGTGTTTTACTTTTCTATTATTTCTCAATTTTCTTTCTCTCTGCATTGTTGGGAAGGGCTCGAAAGTAAGCATTTCACTGTTAGTCCACACCTGTGGCTTACGAAGCATGTGACGAACAAAATTAGATTTAATTTGAATCAGAGTTCGAGAGCGAGAGAGAGCACGAGAAAGAGGAAGAGAGCTATAGGGAGGAGTATTATATCACCTGAGAGGGGATTCCAAGCTGACGAGTAAGCAGAAGTGGCATTGACAGAAACTTACATCATGTCCTCATCTCCTGACCGACCTTGTCTAACACACACTCAGCCACTAAATCCTGCAAATCACTCCCAAACTGAATGCGTTACACGGATTAACTGTGACTTACTACTTTGGTACATACAACCACACAACTACACACAAACACGTGCACACACACACACACACAGTAAGACTGTAACCTGCATGTGAATTGACTGACTATAGTCTGTCTAGCTCTGGTCAGATAACAGAACAGATAAGATGTGAATTGACCATTCTCTCACACAGCACTAGC